AGAGAGGGAAGTGGGAGATCTGGCCCTATCGACTGCACAGAGCTAGCCATGCAACGGGAGTCTGCAGATGCACGCAGAGCACACCGTCCAAATCTGGCATGCGAGGAGCACCGCCTTGCCTGTCAAGGCTGCTGAGAGCTTGATCCTGTGTCAACGTCAACCCTAGATGCAAAAGCTTCTCTCTGCGTGTCTCCTCATCCTTTCTGCATCCCTCTAGTGCCACGTGCAGTGGGTGTGAAATGAGGCCAAATGAGGCCAATTCTCCCCGGTGTCACCCATGCACACTTGGCTTACCCTCCTTACACTCACACCGCCGTTCTCTCTCTCACTCACGCACACTCTCACATATACATATTTTCAGATTCCTTAGATTCACATGGATCCTGTATATGTGCCACCATGGTTATACAGAATCACAAGCTTATCTTGAGCCTGCCATGCTGGCTTTGGGCCTGGGAGGTCAGAGCTGGGCGAGCTTTGGCTAAGTTGTTCTCTCTCGGCCTTAGTTCCCTCATCAGAAAAATGGGGATAATTGGCTGAAGGTGCAGGTTTTGAGGCAAACAAACACAGGGCTTGCATCTATATGTGTGTGAAGCAGCAGCAGCAGCAGCAGCAAAAAAAGCTCATGCTATTCTAGGCTGCATCAACAGAAGTGTAGTGTCCTGTCAAGGGAAGTAATAGTACCACTCTATTCCGTCTTGGTCAGACCACAACTGGAGTCCCAGGTCCAGTTCTGGGCACTACAATTTAAGGAGGATATGGACAAGCTGGAATGCGTGCAGAGAAGGGCAACCAGGATGATCAAGGGTCTGGAAAGCAAGCCTTATGAGGAATGGTTGAAGGAGCTGGGTATGTTTAGCGTGGAAAAGTGGAGACTGAGAGGAGATGTGAAAGCCATCTTCAAACATCTCAAGGGCTGTCACTCGTGGAAGATGGAGCAAGCTTGTTTTCTCCTGCTCTGAAGGGTAGGACATGAACGAATGGCTTCAAGTCACAAGAAAGCAGATTCCAAGTAAACATCAGAAGAACTTTTGAATGGTAAGAGCTTGTTCGACAGTGGAATGGACTCCCTTAGAAGGTGGTGGACCATTAGAGGTTTTTAAGCAGAAGTTGGATGGCCACCTGTCATGGATGCCTTAGTTTAAATTCCTGAACCAGATGACCCTCAGGGTCCTTTCCAACTCTGCAATTCTAGGATATGTGCCACATAATACTCTACACAACGCTGCTGGTGTGTTGTAGTGGTTAAGAGTATTTAACTAAGACCTGGCAGACCAGGGTTCAAATCTCCACTCCCACTGGGTGAACTTGGGCCAGTCACTGTCTCTTAGTCTAACCTACCTCACAGGATTGTTGTGAGGATAAAATGGGGAGGGGGAGAACTATGGGTAGCACCTTGAGCTCCTTAGAGGAAAGGCAGGACAGAAATGCAAAATGAAATGATAAAATGAAATACTAGTTCATGGGAGGGGGGTCAGGGGCATTTTCAGGGGAGAATCAGAAAGTGGGAAGGGATGAGTAACCCTCCACCTCCTGCTTTGCTAGGGACACGGGTGGCGCTGTGGTCTAAAACACTGAGCTTAGGGCTTGCCGATCAGAAGGTCGGCGGTTCGAATCCCCGCAATGGGGTGAGCTCCCATTGCTCAGTCCTAGCTCCAGCTAACCTAGCAGTTCGAAAGCATGCTAAAAAGTGCAAGTAGAAAAATAGGTACCTATCCGGCTGGAAGATAAACAGCGTTTTCGTGCGCTGCTCTGGTTTTGCCAGACGCGGCTTAGTCATGCTGGCCACATGACCCGGGAAAACTGTCTGCGGACAAACGCCAGCTCCCTCGGCCAGTAAGGCGAGATGAGCACCGCAACCCCAGAGTGTCTACGAGTGGACTTAATTTTCAGGGGTCCTTGACCTTGACCTTTTACCCACTTACCTATTCATTTCTGAAACTCTCTTTCTTGGTGTTTTTAATTTGACAACCCCCCCCCCCCCCCGCTAGGCATCAAGACCAGAAATATGCCCAGTGAAGGAGAAATGGCCAGGAAGTTATTTACAGGGTGGGGAGAATGGCTGGTATGGGAAGGGTTAGGTACCACCCTCCCACCTGTCAATTCTCCCCTAAAAATGCAGCTCCTGCTCCTACATTTGCAATACCTTGGCAAATGTGGATTAAGGAACACGCATTTGTCGAGATGTGTCATTCCGTCTGCCTTGGCCTATTTTGCAAAGGATGTTGGGATGAGAGATTAAAGGAGGAGAGACTGTCAGTGGTCTTGAACTCCTGGGAGTCAGAATAACAATAAATTAATGCACCCGCCCACATAAAGACCCTTTTTCACTCATTTAGAATTCCAAGGGCTAATCTTGCAAAATATTCATTAATCCATATTTGCAGACTTCCCACATATAACAAAGCATGCCCTCTTCAGTATCAGCATGCAACATATATGGATGGTCTCTTTGGGAATCAATCCCAAGGTATCCCTCATTTCCCCTGGGGCTTAAAGCACTTTTGCCTAATGAAGCCCTTATTAAAGCACTCTTTTCGGCTACTACAGCGCTGCGGGAGCTACTTTCCCTGTAGGTTCACCCCACATCTCTTGCGACCGCATGGATAGGGTCAATAACACGGGTCTTCCTTGTGGGGTCAAACCCCACCCTCAAACCCTCAAACCCTCAAACCCACATCATCAGACCCACCCAGGCGGTTGCAGGCCTTTTGATATGATTGCAGTGCTGTGGGATGAACCCATAGTTGAGCTAGTGCCACAGCGCTGTTGCAGCATGCCAGGCAGGCCCAGCAAATGGATATGGGTACACACAGCACTTGGAAACAGTTTTCGAAATTAACCAGGCACCAGGCGTGTTTTGCGACCGGCAGCCAGCCTTTTGCCAGGAAGTGGAGACGTCTGGTCTCCAGGTTTGGCACCTAACATCTCCATCTGGCTGGCTGGCGTGGCTGCGATGCCACGCCAGTCAGCTGGTCTGCGGGGCAGCACAGCACCAAAAGACATGCCGTGCTGCCCCCATACCATTTGCTTTGTAATCTTGCAAAAGAATTTGCGCCTAGACATATTGTGGTGGTGACCATAACCTCCCTACCTGCTGCCATTGGTAGGGCAGCAGGTAGGGAGGCCAACAGTAGGGGGAGCCGAAGCAGAGGCAGCTGGTTCTGGTTTTGTCCCCATCCTCCTCCCTGCTGTGTTCCACAACGTCAGCACTGAGCTGGAGGAAGAGGAGAAAGCTGCCACAGCCAGTGCCACCCACTGGACTGGATGTAAGTAAGGAGACGGGCGGGTGTGGGGGATGGAGCTGATGGCAGGCAGAGGTTGGCAGGCAGAGCTCCATTCGCCCTAATGCACCAGCCTCCATTGTCAGAGATGGCTGCTTCTAGGGGGCTGCGACCGGTGCAGTTGTACCGGCCGTAGAGCTTCTGGGGCGCTGCAGCTGGTGCCACCACTATTATGTCCAATGGAAGATGAGAGGTTTGGGGAACGCCACTGAAATTTGAGGTGTCATGGTCCACCACTGCCACTGTGCAGACACCTAGCACTGCATGGAGAGAGATGCCTTACATGAGCCACCAAAGTATCACAAACCACCTCAACAAGTACAAAGAGGTTATCTACACACGAGTCCAGCTTACGGACCGCTGTTTGAAGGGTTTGCGGAGGATTGCCCTCTGTTTGAAGGGCTGTCCATGTCCAGTTTGAAGATCAGGGCCCATAAAAAGTTGGCACCACCTAGTTGGTAGATCAGAGGCGTAGCATGGTGTGCGTGGTCCCGGGCGCACATTTTTGATGGGGTGCAATGAGGGCTCGCTCCGACAGGCACGGAGCCCAGGTAGCTGAGGCACGGCAGTGGGTGGGTTGCTCTAGTGGCCAGGTGCATGGATGCAGCTGGCAAGGAGCCTATTTGAGGCGGGCTCCGTTCACCCTCCTGGTGTGCGCCCCCCACCTCAGGCTGCCCAGTCCACCAGGAGGGCGTGGCACTTGCCCTGCTCTGGGTGCCAGCAACCCATGGCATGCTGCTGCAGCAGAGTGAGCAGGCACAAAGACCCTTGCTGTGTGAAGGACTGCCTTTCTATTTAAATTCTAGTGGTTATTTCTAATTCTGCATCTATAGCCACGTATGCAATTTAAGAAAATCCTATGGATATCCTGGTCTTCCTTTGCCTTCTTTTTTTCTGGAGGTGTCTGTGTGCATTTCCTCTTGTGTGGTGGGGGGTTCACAAGGCCCCATAGGTAAGGAAGAGGGCCCCTTTGGTATATGCACGGCAAGCATTGTTAACAGCTACCTAATCCTGCCTTTGCAACCATTATACGTGACTCGGTTGCAGATGGCAGAGAAAATCAATCTGAACTGTCCTTGACCTCTGCTGAAAGTTATAAAGTTAGGGTAGATGCTCACAATCTGCTGGACACTGCCAGATTCGCAGGGGCCACAAAGACTTGTACCCGGAGGGGACAGTGTAGCCCAGACAAGTGAAAGAGTAAGCCACCAACGTGCTGGGAAGCCTTGGGCAAACCACCACCATCACTAGCTCTGACTCTGAGCCTCTGCTTAGAATCTGCTCAATGGGAATAACAGTGATCTGCTTCACTAGCAGAGCTTGAGAGAAGGATCTCAAGGAACAGAGTTTGCCAAACTTGGGTCTCCATGCCCTTTTTTTGGACTACAATTCCCATCATTCCTAACTAGCAGGGTCAGGGATGATGGGAGTTGTAATCCAAAAACAGCTGGGGACCCAGGTTTGGGAAACCTTGCATTAGACATGCTCAGAGTAGACACTTTGCAATTGACTTGCCTAAGTTGGTCATGCCCATCAGTTTAATGGGTCTGTTCTGAATAGGGCAAAGATTGGTTACAACCCACAGACACTGCAATACCAAGCACGTTTACTCCAAAGTAAGCTCCTGTGGGTTGTGTTCATGGAATCACAGAGCTGTAGAGTTGGAAGGGACCACGAGGGTCATCTAGACCAGCCCCTGCAATGCAGGAATCTTTTTGCCCAAGGTGGTGCTCGAAGCCAAGACCCTGAAATGAAGAGTCTCATGCTCTACTGACTGAGCTATTCAACTAACTTTTACCCAGAGTAGACCCATTGAAAATAATGGGCCCAAATTAGTCATGGCTGTTATGTTCAGTGGGTCTACTCAAAGTAAAAAAATTGCTTTAACGCTTAGTTCTATTGAGCTCAGTGAGCTCTTGCTAATAAATTGTACTTTTGACCACTCAATCCTATGTGCATTTATTCAGAAGTGACTCCCGCTGTGTTCAGTGGAGCTCACCCAGAAAGCTAGAGAGCACAGACTGCAGCTGTATTCACGTTTTCCTGGGAGTAAATTCCATTAACTCAGTACCTCTGGGTTAATCATGCAAAAGCTTGGGCTGTTTAAAGCGCCACTGTGGTTAAAGAATGAACAAATGCAGGGACCTCACCAAACAACGCAAGAAAGAGAATCCTACATCACACACGGATATAAAAGGGCACAGTGGTTAGTGTGGCAAATGCCGCGTCCCCCACACTGAGAGGCATGCGCAGCAGAACTCCTACAAGACATCCATGTACAAGGTATTAGATATAAGAACCTGTAACCTGCAAGATATTAAAACAGGAATACACAGAATTCTGTGGGCCGCAAGTTCATAGTTGGAGGCAGAAAGCATAGTCAGACAACAGAATTAAGGAGTCCCAGACAAAATAATGTTTCTAATGTTTCTGTAACCACATGTTGCACAATGTGCAGAGAGAGGTGTACTGTACAAGTAAGAAACAGCTCAGGCTACATGGGTACAAGAATCCACTATGGGACAGTATACAAGGAATAAAGCTTTAAAGCCCCATAGTCCACAAAGGCCCACAGAGTACAGTGGGAAAATAATGTACTCGTGTGCGCGCACACACATGCACACAGAGCATGCACACCAGCACCTCGAAAGCCACATGGCGACAAATCTACAGCCCAGCATGAGTTCTGCCGCGAGCGAGTGCCAAATGGGCAGATCGCTCTGAGAAACGGCCGTGTGCCTGCTCACAGATGGACGGTGGCTGCCACACGGCTCATCTATATAATCTGATGGGGAATATGCACATGGAGACCTCGTGGCTACACCCACACGGCAATATGAGAACATACAGATGAATGCATATGCATCCAGGCTGACAAACTCAGAGCTGTGAAAACGCTACCCAAGCTCACAAGCACACACGCAAATATTTGGTTTATTCATCCGGAGGACATGAAGGAGGTTGGTTCAAGTCTGTGCCTTTTGCAAAACACATCTTCCACAATTGTGATTGTCAACGAATTTGCTCCTTCTTCTTTTTGGGGGTAAAGGTGATAAAAGTGAAAGGCGGGGGGGGGGAAATGGCAGAGGTGCGCACAGATGAAGCGGGGAGGCAGCATGGAGGAAGAACAAGCATTGAAAAAGCGAGATGATAGAGGGCATTGAAGACCCAGCTGCATATGGGATACCTTGCTCAAACCCATTTCGGTTTCCCGGGGTTTTGCAGACACCTCCCACACATTTCCACAAGCCGTTCTTTGCGGCCAGGAGGACTAGAAACTTGCTTTTGCATTTTGCAGGAAAGCTGCCGTGGGGACGGCGAAGACCCCAGGTCCTGCCCTTGTGCAGTAAAATCGCCAATGTGCACAGGCAGTTGCAGAGAAGCACACCTGCCGCACATAGTATATGGCATATGAGCATGTGTGCATGTGAGTGTGTGCGCTCACCGCGAGGCAGATTTATTTATTTATTTACCTGGCACACATTCCAACTGGATCCAGATCTGCTTAAAAGCGCCGACACTCCCTCACCCCCACCCCGGCCATTCAGGAGAAGCATGCTCACAGCCTCTCACACACAAGCACTTATTTGCCTCTCTATCTATGCACAACTGCAAGCAGACATGGAGACCAAGAGAGAGAGAAGGCTGTTCTTACAAAGGTATGGCCACAGCAAGGAGAGAAAAGCATGCACGACAGGCGTGCACAAGGGCAAATGCATGGACAGATATGCACGAAGGTACGGATGCATGAGGGATGTGCAGAAAAAGACAGTGACATGCACACACACACACAGAGAAGAGAAGGAAAATGCATGCATGATTTTATACCTGCAGATTAAGCACACAAGGATGGCAGCTAGCACAATGGTACACATAATGGCATACAGAAATACAAGCACACAGCAATTTATGTGCACACCCTCAGTCGTACGATACACTTTCCCCACCACCCCATGCTCCTTCTCCTCCTTTGTCTCTCAACCCCATTACTAGCAGCACATCTGCACATGGCTACCAAAACGCACACGCCACCACAAGCATAGGCATAGGCTGACAACCCCAGGCACCCGTTCCCCATTCCATCCCGTATATAGGTCTACACGTGTGCAAGTGTGCAGACGCCGAGCTCAGCCCACATGCCTCAGCCAAGCTGCCCACCTCGCGCATGGAAACTCATGCCCGCACACCAGCCCCCCTCACGCCCATTTGCAGGAAGCTTCTGCACCCCAGTTTCTGGAAGAAGCTCCCCCCTCCCCACTCACTCCCCAATGCCTGCTAATGGACAACCAAGACATACATGCACGTGAGAAAGGCACTCACGCGTAAAGCACATTTTCTCACTCACCTCTGTGCCATAGTAGATGCGGCCCCACACCCCAGCTCACAAGCGGAAAGCCCCCACATGGGGTGGTTTTTTTTTTTTTTTGAAAGTGGGGGCTCCGGAGGGGGGCGTGGCAGGGTCCACAGAGGTGGCCGCACGCGGTGGCTCCGCTGTCACCTCCGGTGCGCCCCCCCAATCCACTCCCCATGTCAGAGCACCGCCGTCCCCTTTCCCCATCGTGGGAACCCCCAGCTCTCCTCCCCAGCCGAAGCGGGTGACGTTTCGCCTCCCACGCGAGAAGAAGACCGACTCCCCCACGCACCCCCGCCAGGCGGTCGCTCCCCCCCCCACCCTGAAGCGGTTCACCCACGCGTGCAGCCTCCCCCACGCGCAATCTCCGCGGTTCCCAGCTTAACCTCCCCCACCCCATCACCCCGCGTTACCTGCCAAGGATGGGAGCCGCTCAGCACATGGTCTCCTTTCGGGGGGGACCCTCCGCCCGGTCCCCCCCACCCCTCCTCCGGCTCACCACTCCTCCTCCGCCGCCGCCGCCTCTCTCCGCCGGGTAGTGTCCTTGCGGTCCTTGCGCGGGGAGGTGGGCGGGGAGCGACGGGGGTCCAGATGTTTCCTCGGGGAAAGGGAGGGGCGCGGGAGAAAGCAGGCTAAGGAGAAAAGGGAAGGTGCCTATCTAGAGAGAGCGAGAGAGCGGTCTTTGGTGGGTGGGTGGGGGGCATTCAGGCTTGCATGGCGGCGCCCTTTGCTGCCTGCGATCCGGGCAGTCTCCCAGGGCTGCGCTGCTTGCCAGCCGCTCCCTCCCTTGCCTGCCTGCCTGCCTCCCACCCTCCCAGCGCTGGAGCGAGGATGCTCTCTCTCTCTCTCTCTCTTTCAGCCGCCCCGCCCCCACCCCTGCTCCCTTTTTTTGCTGTTCAGGAATGCACGGTTCTGGCGAGCCCACCTCCTCTTCCCTCCCCAATCTCATTCATAAGGTCACGTGGGTGTGAATATTGGGAGGGGGCCGCTGGAGAAGGAGCGCGATCCGGCAACCACACCCCCTCCCCATCTTCGGCCACTTAAGCCCCAACCCCGCATCTCCTTTGCACACGCCCATCCACTCTTCCTCTCGCTAACCCCCAGGTCCTCACCCCGCATCCCCTCCCTGCAACCTCCCCCCCCATTCCCACCCCCCTGAGGCGCCCGCGGGTGCCTCCTCTCCTCCTTTTTTACGTCCCATTTATCCATCATCTCAGATCTCTTCTTCTTCTGCTGCTGCTGCTGCTGCTTCCTCGGGGATCAGCCTCATTTCCATCCCTCCCTTTATAATCGCGCGGCTGCTCTCCCTTCCAGGAGCCTTCTCCGACCCTGCCAGCATCTCTGGAACCAAGCCAGGCTCTTCCTCCCCACCTGCAGCCGCCTCGACAGGTGAGGTTTACATCAGTTTGGGCTTTCAAAGGCAGAAAGTGAGAGCAAACTGACCTTGACCAAAAGGTGCAGTTCCTTTCTCTTCACCCTTGTACCTTTCATCCTCTTTGGCTGGCAGGTATGGATATTGGCCCCAGACACACTCACACTGCATCAGAGCACCATCCTTACACCCCAAGGTGGCGTTGTGGGTTAAACCACAGAACCTAGGACTTGCCGATCAGAAGGTCGGTGGTTCGAATCCCTGTGACGGGGTGAGCTCCCGTTGCTCAGTCCCTGCTCCTGCCCACCTAGCAGTTCGAAAGCACGTCAAAGTGCAAGTAGATATATAGGTACCGCTCCGGCGGGAAGGTAAACAGCGTTTCTGTGCACTGCTCTGGTTCGCCAGAAGCGGCTTAGTCATGCTGGCCACATGACCTGGAAGCTGTACGCCGGCTCCCTCGGCCAATAGAGCGAGATGAGCACCGCAACCCCAGAGTCGGTCATGACTGGACCTAATGGTCAGGGGTCCCTTTACCTTTACAGGTACTGGGAACCACCAGAATGGCTTGCGGCCTTCCCCATATCTGTCGCATCACTGGGTACCAGTCCTACTTGCTTATCCCAAGATGAGCAAACATCCCTAGAACCCCATCCTCATCCCTAGGCTCCCTTCTTAGCTGGAGGCACCTGCCGTCCCTCCAGACTTCCAATGAGGTGGCTTGGAAAAGGCAGCATTAATGGCAGTGGTGTCTTGTCACTTATTGAGGCTGATAGGGTGGAAGGTGGTGGAGCCAACAGTAGGTGGTGCCATAGGCAATGGCAGGCAGAGGCAACTAATTTTGCCCCCATCCTCCTCCCTACTGAGGTGTACCAGGACAAGACTGAGACTAAGGAGGAGGAGGAAGCTGCCACAGTCAGTACCACCCTCTGGGCCTGGCTGTAAGTATGAAGGCTGGTGGGATCCCAGCCGAGGTTGGTGAGGTTGTGCCCCGTTTCCCCTAATAGACCAACCTTGTGGAATGTATTAAAAGGTAGGGATGCCTGTGGGATCGATAAGGCAATGCCTGGCTATGATACTCAATAGTATCATAGCAATACTGAGAAATGAGACTCATAAAGGCAGATAATATGTTGTACACACAAGGCTGTACAACAGGACTCCCAATATTGCTAGACCACAACTCCTATCATTCCTAACCATTGGCCATGATGGCTGGGGCTGATGGGAATTGGAGTCCAACAACATCCAGAGGGAACAAAGCTTCCCTAATCCTGCTGTACAAAGTACATGAATCCTGGCATTCATTCATAATTTATTTGTTATAAGCATGTATTTTATTGTAAGTAACATTTATTGTGTTTTTAATGGTTATAGCACAACAAAATGTAGAAACAGAAACAGCAGGAAAGGCAAACTGGAGGAATTTACAGGAAAGCCTGCCCCATTCCAGGTATGCACATTATATGAAGGGAAAATAAAGAAGCAGTCAAGTTATCATTCCAAGTATCCGAAACTTATGGAGATGATTGCCAAGAGAAGGTGCTCTTTGCCATATAGTAAATAAAAGCATGCCACACCATATAAAAGGAGTCCTTGCCTAAATTTCAGATTATGTGTGATTCCCCACCTCCACTGCCCCATAATCACCATGTTCCATAAAGAGATATATCATCTGTCCAATCTGAGGTCTTGAGCAGTTTTCCATGATATTTTTATACCAATGTTCCATCATGTTCCCAGGATGGCTTACCGCCCCCCCCCCCCGGCAATAAAAGAAAACAATTAAAATGTGCATTCAAAAATAAAATAAGCTGAAAGCCGTAAAGTTATAAAAGCAACGGGAAACCTAGTTGCAGCTAGAAAAGCTAAGGAAAATAAAAAAACAGGTCTCTTCTGCCAGTTATAAAGGACAATAAAGTTTAAAATGTGTGTGATGCTGTACTATAGCCAGCAATGGACACATTTAAAGCACACATGACCGAGCAATTGATCCTGGTTTACGTGTGACTCTGCAGTATAGCCAGTGATAGGCATGGGCCATAGTCTCTGGCATGGCTAGCATATACAATGTGTGAAGAAGAGAGTACACACTGACATCCTTGGGACATAGACTAATGGGGGGGGGAGGGCAGAGCGCAGGCATTCAGGATAGCTCAGTTGGCTGGAGTGTGCTGCTCATAATGCCAAGGCTGCAAGTTTAATCTCCATATAGCAGGGGTCAGCAACCTTTTTCAGCAGGGGGGCAGTCCACAGTCTCTCAGACCATGTGGTGGGCCAGACTATATTTTGAAAAGAAAAAAAAAAGAACGAATTCCTATGCCCCACAAATAACCCAGAGATGCATTTTAAATAAAAGCACACATTCCACTCACGTAAAAACATGCTGATTCCCGAACCATCCACGGGCTGGATTGAGAAGGCAATTGGGCCGCAACCGGCCCCTGGGCCTTAGGTTGCCTACCCCTGCCATATAGGATCCTGCATTGCAGGGGGTTGGAAGAGATGATCCTCAGGGTCCCTTCCAGCTCTACAATTCTGTGATTCTAAGCTTTGTGTGGAAAAGGCCCTGTGTTTAATTCACAGGATTGCCAAGCAGGGCTGGGAGAGATCCCAGTTAGATGGGCCAATATTCAGACTCTGTATATGTTCCAATAAATGCTACTGCCATCTGTAATACCCCCAGACCACATGTGAAACTTGCTATCTGACATGCCTGGGCCATAGAAATGCACACAAAGTTGGTGTTCAGAAAGACTGGTGAATTACATGTAAATACACTCCTATCCACTGGCAAATACGGACCTACCCCACTGGGATTGTAATTTATTTTTCAGATCTGCTCCCCACCTCCAGCTATTTTGGACTACAATTCCTATCAGCCCTAGCCAGCTGTACTATACTACGATACTGTGGAAGGACATGTGGATCCAGAATTGGCCTCTGCAGTCACTTACAGACTCATTGTTAAAACCGTGTTTATGGAAGACAATCTTACTCGGCTACGAGTGATTGCCAAAGAAGAAGACTACGATATGTATCTTGTACAGTGGTACCTTGGTTCTCAAACTTAATCCGTTCCGGAAGTCTGTTCCAAAACCAAAGCGTTCCAAAACCAAGGCACGTTTTCCCATAGAAAGTAATGCAAAATGAATTAATCCATTCCAGACTTTTAAAAACAACCCCTAAAACAGCAATTTAACATGAATTTTACTATCTAACGAGACCATTGATCCATAAAATGAAAGCAATAAACAATGTACTGCAGTCACACAATCAGTAGCTGAACTGGGTTCCACACAGTCACAAAACGAAAAGAGCCACAAAAATGCAAAATAAATAGTGAAAACAGACAGACAGTAACACTCAAAACAGAAGTGTGGCACTCAAAACGGAAGAGTAACACTCAAATCAGAAGCGTAACACTCAAAATGGGCACATTCAACTTCTGAACAAAGTTTGCAAACCGGAAGTTGTTTGAGAACCAAGGTGTTTGAGAACCAAGGTGCCACTGTATCTTCTAATAGCAGCTCATTATTGGAGAGCAGAGCTTTATGTAGCCAAAACAATACCAGCAGCGTACAAGGAGATTAGCAGCAGGCTTGGGAGCACATCAAGATTTGCTAAAACAGAGCGCATGTTGCGGGAGGAAAACCCTCAATGGGGAGGGGATCCCAAAAGCAGGCATTAGAGGGGGACTGAGTGTGCTCATTGGGCATGGTGTGCTGACTGACTGTTGGAAACAGAAATCTGGGTAGGAGGTGCAGAGGCAGTGATGATGTTTGGCGTGCAAGAGGGCAGCAGCCACAACCACACCCCCAAGGAGTATCCAGAACAGAGGAATTTTACCACCACCTCACTAGCCTTTCAAGAACGGCTTAACTTTTCTTGTAGCCCAGCCTCAGCTCCTATACAAATGGATGCTTTAGCTGAGATGCAGCGGGTTGGACTAGATGACCCTCCCAACTCCGTGATTCTTTGATAATTACCTGGAAGGAAGCTCCATTGAACTCAGCGGTGCTTATTTCTGGCTGCAAAGGTTAAATGTGCAAAAGACTCCAAAGATCTTCAGCTTTTTAAATTAGAAGTACAAACATTCTTGCAAGGAAGGGTTACCATTCAAACCGCTAGTGTGGAAATACGAGCCCACATGAAAGAAAAGGACCTGAGAGCCTCTTTTATCTCTTCATTCACCCCATCATTTGCTCTGGGTCTTCCGGCAGATTACTGCATTGCTCTTGCTCTGTCCTATAGCTGTGTTCCCTTGCATTCTTGCTCCGCTCCACCACTGGGAAGGGAAATGGAATGGAGTATCCTGCAAAAGGGCATGGCTGGCTGGCTGGCAGGCACCCTGAACATGAGCACTCCACACTGCAATGTTACATTATGCTATATCGATCAGCCTTGCCTTTTAGCCCAAAACTGGCTTCCAGCAGAGCTCGTAGCAATTAAAACACTGTACATACAGACTGCTGCTGGAGTCTGCATCCAGGTGTGACAGAGCGATGCCTGACAGCTGATTCCTCATCCCCTGGTGGCCTCAGCGATGTGAGTTAGTAGCTAAGGGAGGTTCTAAGCCTTGCTAGATCAGACTAGTTCGGCATCCCCATTTCCACCACCCACTAAGCGAAAGGTTATCATGCACACTGCATGCAGAAAGAGTAATGTGTTGGGAGCAACCCACAGACACAAAGCAGGGACACTCGTTGCTCACTGACCAAGGGAGACGTACACACAAACGCACAACATCTGCACTGTGGAAGGAGCTGACAAAAGTGCCCACACTGAGGTCACTTCCCGTTGAAACGTATTCTAAACATGTGCAAATAAACACACGCTCAACTTTATTGTTTATTGGGTGACTGTTTCCCCCCCTCCAGTTTTCTGAATTAATTTGCTTCATTAATTTGTTTGTTTTTGTTTATAATGATAATAATAAGTGATGTTTCTGTCCTTACTGTCTTGTTAAGCTGCCCAAGGACCGTAAACTTAGGGTGAAGGTGTTGGATGGGCAGTTATTCCACTCTCCCAAAAGAGAGTGAGAAATCCCAAATTTCATGTCATTGACATGAAATTTGCAATTGCTAATTTATACAAATACACAGACACTGGGAAAGAGCTACTACCATTTGAATAGAAATACAAGACATCTCACTCTAGTGGAGAAAGAAGACTGTTGCCAGGTGATCCGTGTGCGTTTTTGGTCCAGGGGCTGACTGTTGATGGACAGTTTCAAGAACTTTATTAGGGTTCCTTTTCTTTAAACCAGGTATGGTTTGGACAGCCCTTGAAAGTGAGGATGCTTTCAAAAAGAGGGCATTTTCCAGACAGAGCTTCAAACAGAGGACCTTCCTTTGTAGCCACCCAATGAAAGTATGTGATATAAATTATGTAGGTTAAGTAAATGAGAGGTGGAGGGAAACCCCATAGATAATGAATATATTTTTAACATTTGTTCTTTTAAGAAAAAAGCTAACCAAAACGGAATAAATTAATCCAGATTTATGCTGGCCAGGTGACAACCCCAACATAACACAGTTCTCTCTCGCAATCCAACTTGGGTGAGGCTTTGGCCTGGCCTGCTTTTCGCATCTGGATTGAATTAGACATTCCGGCTTCTGGCTGGCTGGAGTTCTGTCCCTCCCTCCCCCCATTTCTGCCCCAGCCATCGCCTGAGTGGGCAGACATCGCGTGAAATCCAAGAGGGAAAGAGGGAAAAGAAGGAGAGGGAGACAGATCCAGTACGTTCTTGAGTTCATTGGGTGGGAGATTCGGGATAACTGACCTCTCGCCCTCCCCCAGCAACGCCGGTACGCCAAGTCCCGGTTGGAGAGAGACAGCGCCATGGAGATTTGGCCTCTGATGCAGCTGCTGCTCTTGGGGTTGCTGCTGGGGGCGGCTCAGGGACAGAGGGATGAGCTGAGCTCTGAGGAGGAAAGAACAGCCCTGATGCTGAAGGTGAGAAACTCTCCATTTCCCTGGCACCACCCCATCTAATACAGGGGCAGCATAGACAGTGGTCTGGGCCAATACAATTTGCCAGGGGACTCCAGGGTGGGGGGAAGAGGGGCAGCTGCCATGTTGGAAACAGCGTGTGAGTGCAAACCATACATTTAAAACACACAAGCCCTCAAAGAATCCTGGGAACTGTAGTTTACAGAGCTACAGTTCCCAGCACCTTTAACAAATTACAGTCCTCAGGATTGCTTGCGGGGAAGGGATGTATGATATGTATAAAAAGGTAAAGGGACCCCTGACCATTAAGTCCAGTCGTGACCGACTCTGGGGTTGTGGCGCTCATCTCGCTATATTGGCCAAGGGAGCCGGCGTACAGCTTCCGGGTCATGTGGCCAGCATGACTAAGCCGCTTTTGGTGAACCAGAGCAGCGCACGGAAACGCGGTTTACCTTCCCGCTGGAGCGGTATCCTATTTATCTATGTGCACTTTGACATGCTTTCGAACTGCTAAGTTGGCAGGAGCAGGGACCGAACAATGGGAGCTCACCCCGTCGCGGGACCGCCGACCTTCTGATGGGCAAGTCCTAGGCTCTGTGGTTTAACCCACAGCGCCACCCGCATCCCTATGTTATGTATAGGGTTGCCATATGCCTGTTTTTTTCTTGGACATGCCTGGGATTCCAAGGTTGAAATTACCATCCGGGGAGATTGTATAAAAATCGGAAAAATGTCTGGGTTTTCGCAAACAGGGGAGAAAAAGCTCAAAAACATTTTGTGTGTTTCCCCCCAAAATAGCTCAACAACTTTTGGGTTGATTTCCCCCCAAAAAGCTCAAAAATTGTTTGTGTCTTGATTTTTTTACTTCTTGAAATATGGCAACCCTAGATACATACAGATCCTATGTTGCTTCCAGAATATCCGGCCTGCCGTTATCCAAGATGCAAACTTTTCCCAGAATCCATTAGGCAACACCAAAAGGATACTGTGGGTTCTCTTGCCCTGCTCCCCACTGCAATCTGTCAAGCAATCAATTTATGGCTTTGCTTCAGGCAGCAAAATGTGTTGGACTGGGAAACGAACAAAGGAAAGTGAAGCCCTGTGTCGACATTAAGGCTTCATGCACACCAAATGCTTAAACCACATTTTCCGCCCACCCAAGAATCCTGAGATCTGTAGTTTGTTAGGGGCGCTGGAAATTGTAGCTCTGTGTGTGTGTGTGTAAAACTACAGTTCCCAGGATTCTTTGGGTGAATGAAGGAAACATGCCTTTGATATATGGTGTGTATGCAGCCGCAGTGAACACAAATGGGATGGAGTGGGACCCACCATCAACCTCGCTCTCAACTGCTATGTGGGAATGCCACATTCAGACATGACGATTATTGCATTCATTTCCCTGGTTGTCTCCAAGAATCCGTTGTTACACCATTCTGGAAACCGCAGCTCTGTGAGGGGGAATAGGGGCCTCCTAACGACTCTCAGCACCCTTAACAAACTACAGTTCCCAGAATTCTTTGGGGGACCGAAGAGGACAGGCTTTGACAAAACTTGCATATGCTAATTTATATGTCTAGATGCAAATAATTACTGTAATTGAAATAAAAATACAGTCCACCTTGTCATCGTGGGGAAAAATGTGGCCAAGTGACCACTGTGCCTGCTAGGTCTGCTGTCAGTGATAACAGACCCAACCAGTGTCCCTATTTTCCAGGGACAGTCCTGGACTTACAGAAGCTGCCCTGGTTTCTGCTTTGATTCTGGAATGTCCCACTTTTCCTTAGGACACCCCTTTTTCCCCTATGTTGGAGGGTATGGAGTCATGGGACACCCCCCCAAGCCAATGAGCTAAGTAACTGTACAACCATTAGAAGGCATCTGAAGGCAGCCCTGTATAGAGAAGTTTTTTTATAAAAAAAAAAGTTTAATGTTTTATTAAAGGTAAAGGGACCCCTGACCATTAGGTCCAGTCGCAGATAACTCTGAGGTTGTGGCGCTCATCTCGCTTTATTGGCCAAGGGAGCCGGCGTACAGCTTCCGGGTCATGTGGCCAGCATGACTAAGCCGCTTCTGGCGAACCAGAGCAGCCGTTTACCTTCCCACCGGAGCGGGACCTATTTATCTACTTGCACTTTGACGTGCCTTCGAACTGCTAGGTTGGCAGGAGCAGGGACCGAGCAACGGGAGCTCACCCCGTCGCGGGGATTCGAACCGCCGACCTTCTGATCAGAAAGTCCTAGGCTCTGTTGTTTAACCCACAGCGCCACCCGCGTCCCAAATGTTTTATTATGTTTTTATATGTGTTGGAAACCGCCCAGAGTGGCTGGGGCAACCCAGTCAGATGGACTGGGTATAGATAATAAAATTATTATTATTATGGAATAAGATGTCCCTATTTTCATCAGAGAAATGTTGGAGGGTAGCTGATAACAGTTGACGGGCAAACTTCAAGGTGACTGCTGCACAGTTCTTTATCCTTATACCGGACCTGACAGTCCTTCAAACAGAGGACAGTTTTAAAAGAGACATTCCTCTGACAGCTTTCAAATAGAGGTCTGCCCTCTGTAAAATTGGACACGTGGCCACTCCAGTTGCGTAATGTTTAGACGCCTGCTCTGTGTTTTTTTCTTAGACATACTAGGATCTGGGGCAGTTCCAGCCTCCAACCCAAACATATTACTTAAGACTCTCTCTCTCTCTTTCCCTCTCTGTAAGCTAGACCCGCTCAGGCAGCCAGGAAAAAATCTGGTAGGTCTGACTGTACATGCATGTTCCTACTAAAGTAATTTATACAAAACTCTTCGTTTGCCCTGAACGCCTCTCTTGGGTCCCTGATCTGAATAATCTTACAGCTTGGATTCTGTCCTCTCCCATCCAGCCCTACAGCCATTGAACTCAGTCTGCTCTCACCACACGGACTCTTCTTTCCTTTTTGCAGAGGAGTTGAGGCCTCTGTCTTACACGCATCTGAAATTTGTGCGCTTAACAGGCCCTGGGAAATCCAGGGCAGGATGATAGGAACAGGATGATCTCACCTGTGCTGTGATGTCAAAACAAAAAACACAAAAAACCCACACTCGGTGTTTGCATGCTTTTTCCTTCTTAAAGGGATGTTTCGATTTGAGCAAGGCTTTGTGTTTTGCTTGATTGCCAGCTGACTAGATGCCATCAAGCTGCTGCGTTCTTGTGACTGAGGTCTGGAACAAAGCCTGGATTTCTGAATCCTCTTGGACGCTAAAACATGGAACTCTTTTAGAAGCAGTAACCAAGTTTTGGGACTTGGCTTAGCATCTTCCGTGGATGGCCAAGTCAAAGCTTAGTGATTATCTAGTGTGCATTTGCGATCTTACTGTTTGCTCTGCCTGTTTCCGTCTGTTTCTGTTACTTAATATCTTGACAAACATAACTGTTTAAGCATCTCTAAAGCAGGGGTTCCCAAACTTTTTCGGGCCAAGGTTCCATAAAACTATCCCAGCACCCCCTACCCTATAAAAAGCATTATTCAGAAAAGCAGCATGCATGATTCATTAAGGAAGATAACCAGAGAATTGTAGAATTGTAGAGGTGGAAGGGACCACAAGGATCATCTAGTCCAACCTCCTACAATGCAGAAATACTTTGCCCGATGTGGGGCTCAAACCCATGACCCTGAGATTAACAGTCCCATGCTCCACCGACTGAGCTTTCTGAAACTGAAAACCGCAACAATTAATTGCACATTTATTCAAACACCAATCAAAACTATTTAATTTAATTAATTTAACAAACCTTGGTCAAGCGATACCAGCTTTTCAAGGACTGATATAGCCATTTACACCCCCAGCATCCTCCTGTCACCCCCTTGCCTCTTAGAGACCCCCCCAGGGAATCTCACGACCCCCCCAGGGGGGCAGTACCACCCACTTTGAAAGCCACTGATCTAAAGTTTTGCCTGGGTGGTTTCTGAGGTTCCACCTTATGCTCCTTCCATGCTTCGAATGCCCTCTTTAGTTACACTTCCTCCTGTTTTAGGGAACATCAGAAACTGCCTTATACCTAGTCAGAACAAGGGTCCAGTATTGTTGACACTAGCAGTGGCTCTTCAGGATTTCAGAAAAGGAACATTCCTAGTCACACCTGGAGATCTTGGGGAATTAATTGAACCAAGGACATTTCACATTTCTTTTCTCTGAGCAATAGCCCTTTTCTACTTGTTACATCCCAACCTGAATGTAGCCTATCTGCCTCCAGCTGTGCTGTCAGCATGGGGCTGCAAAAATCTACAAGAGGTGGCCAGTGGCTTGCATTCTACGGGGTTATCATGCAGGCTTGTACTACTAGATCCATGTTTCTCAAACGTGGGGCCCCAGCAGTTGTTGGCAGTTCTGATTTGATCCCAGAATGTCCTGGTTTTCCTTAGGACGTCCATGTTTTCATTGGAGCAATCATAGAATTGTAGAGTTGGAAGGGACCCCAAGGGGCATCGAGTCAAACCCCTGCAATGTAGGAATAATGTTGGAGGGTAAGGAGTTATGCAAACCCTGAGCCAAGGAGATAAGTAACTATACAGCCTTTAGAAGACACCTGAAGGCAAGACACCTGTATAGGGAAGGTTTTTTTTAATGTTTCATGTTTCATTATGTTTTTAAATATGTTGGAGGCCGCCCAGAGAAGCTGGGGCAACCCAAACAGATGGGTGGAGTATTATTATTAATAATAATAATAATCAGCACATCCCTCTTTTCATTGGAAAAATGTTTGAGGGTGTGCAAACACCCCTTTCTGTCTTCCATTCTGGTAGGCAAAGCAGAGCTCAGACAAAAACACTTGTTGTTTAGTCGTTTAGTCGTGTCTTCGTGACCCCAGGACCAGAGCACACCAGGCACTCCTGTCTTCCACTGCCTCCCACAGTTTCGTCAACTTCATGTCGGTAGCTTCGAGAACACTGTCCAACCATCTCGTCCTCTGTTGTCCCCTTCTCCTTGTGCCCTCAATCTTTCCCAACATCAGGGTCTTTTCCAGGGAGTCTTGTCTTCTCATGAGGTGTCCAAAGTACTGGAGCCTCAGCTTCAGGAACTGTCCTTCCAGTGAGCACTCAGGGCTGATTTCCTTAAGAATGGATAGGTTTGATCTTCTTGCAGTCCATGGGACTTTCAAGAGTCCCCTCCAGCACCATAATTCAAAAGCATCAATTCTTCGGCGATCAGCCTTCTTTATGGTCCAGCTCTCACTTCCATATATCACTACTGGGAAAACCATAGCTTTAACTATACGGACCTTTGTCTGCAAAGTGATGTTTCTGAAGGTTTTGTCATCTGCATATCTGAGGTTGTTGATGTTTCTTCCGGCAATCTTAATTCTGGCTTGGGATTCATCCAGTCCAGCCTTTTGCATGATGAATTCTGCATATAAGTTAAATAAGTGGGGAGACAATATATAGCCTTGTTGTACTCCTTTCCCAATTTTGAACCAATCAGTTGTTCCAGGTGCAAATCAATCAGGACTGGTGAGGGCTGTGGCTTGGGAGGGTGTATGGCTTCGGAAGAGTCCAGAGGAGCTAGGCCAGCCTTTCTCAACCTGTGGGTCCCCAGATGTTGTTGGACTACAACTCCCATCACTCCTAGCTAGCAAGGCCAGAGCTCAGGGATGATGGGAGTTGTAGTTCAACAACATCTGGGGACCCACAGGTTGAGAACTGCTGAGCTAGGCAGAGAGACCTGGAGGGCAGCATTTGTTCTCTCACCCCTGAGTCTGAGGATGCCTGTTCCTATTCTAACCCTCCTCATCTATCCTCCCCTTTTCCCAGCACCTGCAAGAGGTTCTGGAGCTCTCAGAAACAACTGGAGAGGAGGCTGCGCAGGAGGTCACCCTGACTGAGGTGGGGGACCCAGCTGGCAAGGAAATCTTAGACAAAAATGCAGAGGAGGAGGAACCCGTAGAAGAACCTCCCCGTACCACACAGCTGTCCCCAACCACAGCACCCCCAGCTCAGCAGGAGGAAGAGGATGACTTCACCTACGTGTGTGAGTAACGCAAAGCACTCAGGTCCCCCTTCCTTTTAAAAAGGTGATCTTCCCCACCTCGCAGTTTCACAACCCCAGTTAACATAATGAGAATCCTCTTCTAGCTGGCTTTGAAGGGAGATTTGTTAAAAGAATGGAAGATAGATCTATCGATTTCTGCTAGCCGTGGTGGAGCCCTCCAGGCTTGGGAGCAATGTATGGTAGTTCTCTTTGGGCCCCATCTGCACTACAGATTTAAAGTTTTATTATGTTTTTAGTTTTATTATGTTTGTATATGTGCTGGAAGCTGCCCAGGGTGGCTGGGGAAACCCAGCCAGGTGGGTGGAGTATTGTTGTTGTTGCTGCTGCTGCAGTATCATGCCACTTTAAACAGCCATAGCTTCCTCCGAAGGCAGTCCCAAGGGGAGTTCCACAACTGCACCTCTCTTGGTCCCTGCTCTTGGTCGAGACCAGGGTTCCCAAACTTGGGTCTGCAGCTGTTTGTGGACCACAATTGCCATCACCCTTGACCCCTGATCCTGCTGAAGCAGCTCAGGATCGTAATACCTCAAGGACCGCCTGTCTCCATTTGAACTTAGCCAGATCCTGGTATCATCCTTGAGGCCCTTCTAAGTCTGCCTCTTCCACGAGAGGTCCAGAGCATGGCAACACGAGAATGGGGCCTTCTCTGCAGTGGCTCCCTGCTTGTGGAATGCTGTCCCCTGGGAGGTTCTCCTGGCGCCTTCATTATACATCTTTAGGCACACCAGGCAAAAACGTTCCTCTTCAACCAGGCCTTTGGCTGATTGATCTGATGTGTTGTGGAAGGGGGATTTTTGGATTAATTTTGTTCTTCTTTTCATTATGTATTTTGTGTTTGTTATATTGCAATTTTATGTTGTGAACAGCCCTGAGATCTACAAGTATTATACAAATTTAACAAGCAAGCAAGCAAGCAAGCAAGCAAGCAAACAAGGTGATCTGTGGATGTTGTTGGACTACAAACTCCCATAATCTTTTACCGGTTCCATGCTGGCTGGGGCTGATGGGCTCCGCATTGTCTATCCTTGTAGCCTTCACAGCTCCTTCACAGCTCCTAGGCTCTCTATTTTTAATAGGATTGTTTGTTTGTTTGTTTGTTTGTTTGTAATCTCTCTGGAGTCGTTGGGCTTATTCTAGGGGGGGCCAAGTTCGAATCCCAGCTCAGCCATGAGCCGATTTGAAAACTGCTATTGTACCCTCCCTTAGCAGTCGTTCTGAGCAAGCTCAACATACCCTGTTTCTCGAGCCTTCCCTCGCCTGTCGTCCCATGCTGCCAAATGATGTATCTTCTACTCTTTTCTGAAGCCACTGCTTTCTGCTTGTCCTCAGGCACAGAAGCCAATTACATCTAACTCCAATCAATTCCTAACATAAATCCTGATTTCTTGGGTCTTGGCTGGAAGCAACAGTAAACCCTACCCATCAACGACTTCCTTTCACTTTATAAAAACCTCCGCTTTTGGCTGGAGAAGGAGAAGGGGGGCGGGAAATCACCCTTTGCTGCACTGCCAGGAATACCCCCAACCTCTCTAGAATTCTAATATTCACAATGGCAATCAAAAGTTTAGGCACAGCAGTAAGAGCAATCTCTCCTGCCAGCAAGCATCCCACAGGGAAGTAAGTGCTAAGATTATTTATTTATTTGAAGTATTTTTATCCTGCTCACCAAGCCAAAAAAGAATCCCAGAGCAACTAACGTAAGATCTGTTAAGACAAGGCAGTCTTCTGCCAGCTGAGTTTACAAGAGACATGACACAAAAGGAAAAAGGATGGTGAGGGGAGAGGAAAACAAGCGCGCTCCGTTTTTAAGGCACCCGTTGACCAGGCTGCATAGTGGTTGTCATAATGACCAGTTGCAATGGAAAGAATTCAGGGACAGGAAGAGCCAAAGGGAGCTGTCAGCTGAGACAGTGGGGTGGTCCTGTTTCCTGTCTCTCCTCCTCCTCCTGCAGCCAGATGGAATGGCTGCTACGAAATGATTGAGAGGAGACCCATGGAGCTGGGATCTCAATAGAGCTGATGGCACGAGCCCATTGGTTTTGCATTGCTGGATTCAGACCAGCATTTGGTGTGCTGCAAAAACCACTAGCCAGTTGCCTCTGGTAAGTTAACCAGAATAGCATAGAGGCAGATAGCATTCCTTTGGGAATTAAAAGTATATGGCCCAGTGAGACAGACTATTTGTCTATCTAGCTCAGTACTGTATTCACGTACAGGCAGCAGCAATGCAAGGTCTAAGAAAGTAAAAAATAAATAAAAAATCCTGCTCATCACCTGTTACCTGAGATCTTTTTAACTGGTTACGAAATGTTGTGCATATCCCTGATGGCAAGTGCAGATGGCAAGTGCCTACAATTTTGGCACTGGGCACTGGACACTTCTAAAGACAGACATACAGTTTACATATGAACAAAACTCTGAAGACGGTTTAGTACAGGGAAAAACAGCTTCACGAGGGAGGGAGGTTGGAGTGGGGCAGTCCCCACCCATCACTTTTTGCTCTATGGTGCCCTTACCCCAAACCATTCTTACACATGAGGGGCTCCCAAGCCTTTGCAAATACGTGTTGTGGTGAAAGGGTTAATCACTCTCCACTTTCCCACCCTAAATCATCTCTCTCCCCCTCCTTACTCATCTCTGAAGCTTTTCCCTAGAAGAAACAAGGTTTATGTTGCACACAGTAATTCAGAGCGACAGTTCTCCTTTCTTAAAATTCAGAGCGACAGCTATCCTTCACATCACAAATAATTGGCTGTTGTAACTTTCGCTGGAAGCGCAGCATCATTGGTACCCCTTTAGGGCCAAAGTATCCAGGATGGAAAGCTGAGTGTAACTTTGCCCTGGCATTTTTTAAAAGGAAAAGCACACAGGGGAGGCTGGAATCTTGAGCAAAAGAAGTGTGTGTGTGTGTGTGTGTGTGTGTGTGTGTGTGTGTAGAGGGAAGCAGAGAGGGCAAAGGAGACTTCCCAACTATTTCCCCTCAGTCTGTACCTCTGCTCAAAAATTCCCTCCCCAGTTGCTCCTCTCCTGATTTCGATTTTTTAAAAAAAATGTCTGGAGGGGAAAGGGTTAAGCACCCCCCCATTTTCTGCTGAAGAGTCCAATCTTCCTGCCAGCTCTTTTCATTTATAACACTTACACACACACACCACCACCACCAGGATAAAATTGCACACCTTGGTTGGTGTGCCATGTTTCATTTGGCCTTTGTTCTGGAAAAGGATTCTGGGAAAGCGCAATACTGGGGCTGGGGTGGGGGATCACCCAGCTACCTAGCACTGAGGTTCACAGAAATCTGATGTGGATTTTTCCATCCTTGGAAACACAACATTTTTTTCTCAGCATTAGGAGAGAAATTAGGATGGGGTGGGGAACCCTGCCACAGTCGGTTCCATTGCTGGCGAGCTGTAGCTGTGAAAGCCATCGAGACTTAGTGGCTGAAATGAAAGTTACCATAGAAGTAAAACGTTCAAAGAAAGGAGACTGCGAATGATCACAGATGGTTTAAAAATAAAAATACAGGAGGCGCATCTTGGCTCTTTGTTCCCACTTCAATCGCACTTGGCTCAAGTCGAGCTAACTTGAGTTAAGCAGTTTCCTTCAACCATCAAGTAATCCAGGAATGCTTTTAACAAATAAATAAAAACGGCAGCTGAAGATGAATAAGGACTATATTTAGCACACTGGAGCACTCCCCAGATATTATCTTAACAACCCTGCAAGGTAGGTTAGCATGATTATCCCCTATATTAAAAATGGGAGACAAAAAACTGGGTAGCAGGGAAGGAATCCTTTATATATTTAGGGTTTTTTTGTACACGTTTTGATTCTTCAGTTCAAGCTGTGATGGGGTGGGGTGGGTAACAGTGGGGGACATAGTCTGTAGGGCAAATGGGGCACTGTCCCACCAACCACAGCCCCCCACCACCTGGCTGCCTTCTTGCATAGATAAGAAATAATAATAATAATAATAATAATAATAATAATAATAATACATTTTATTTATACCCCGCCCTCCCCAGCCAAGGCTGGGCTCAGCGCGGCTAACAACCAATAATAAAAACAAGTTGCAATACTACTTAAAAAAACTAGGTTAAATACAACATTAAAACATTAAAATGCAGCCTCATCACAGGAGGAGAAAGGAAAAAAGAAAGAGGGGGAGGGAATCAAATTGACTCCAAGCCAAAGCCAGAACCAGTCCAGGGAGGGGCACTGCTTGTCAACCTACTTCTCCGAAACTGGAATTACCATATGTATGGAAGTGAGAGCTGGACCATAAAGAAGGCTGATCGCAGAAGAATTGATGCTGTTGAATTATGGTGCTGGAGGAGACTCTTGAGAGTCCCATGGACTGCAAGAAGATCAAACCTATCCATTCTGAAGGAAATCAGCTCTGAGTGCTCACTGGAAGGACAGATCCTGAAGCTGAGGCTCCAATACTTTGGCCACCTCATGAGAAGAGAAGACTCCCTGGAAAAGACCCTGATGTTGGGAAAGATTGAGGGCACATGGAGAAGGGGATGACAGAGGATGAGATGGTTGGACAGTGTTCTCGAAGCTACCAGTATGAGTTTGACCAAACTGCGGGAGGCAGTGGAAGACAGGAGTGCCTGGCGTGCTCTGGTCCATGGGGTCACGAAGAGTCGGACACGACTAAACAACAACAACAAAGTCTTTCCATTGCAAGCACCCCTTTTCACAGGAAGGATTTTCTGCCAGAGGAGGAAAGGGTTAAACCCCTCCTTGCCTGCCTGCTCTGATGGCCTTTCCCCTTGATGCAATTTGCATTTTCTGAAAATTTGCACATGAAATGCAAAGGCATCTTTTAATGGCTGTGTCTAGGTGCTGCCTCACACACATCAAACATACCCCTTTCTTGCCTGTGGTGTTGGCTGCCCTGATGAGTTCTTCCTTCCAATTGCTCCACATGCACACAGAGCCTATTCAAGGCCAGACACCCCTCCTCCAGTTGACCACAACCACCTAGATCTCTCCTGCATCACTCACAGACCACCCTCTCTTATCTGTCTCTTGCACAGAGAGGCTTATACAGATGTGCTTGCACGCCCCCCCAATAATCTAATCCTTAGAAGCTACCCAGTCTGCTCATTCCATTCCTTAGCTGAGCTGAACTGCCTGCATTTATAATTTGACCACAGCAAGAAACATGGCCCCATGATGTGATAATTTACTGTTTGTGTAGGGAGCAGAGCCGTGTTCTTAGCAGTAGGTAATTTTCTTTTAAAGAAACTCAACATAGGCAGTAAAGGCAGTCTCCAACTTAGAACAGTTTCCAACTTAGAATCATGGAGTTGGAAGGGACCATGAGGGTCATCTAGTCCAACCCCATGTAATGCAGGAATCTTTTGCCCAATGTGGGGATCGAACCCACAACCCTGAGAATACAAGAGTCATGCTGTACCAGCTATCTCCATGGTCTCAATGGGAAGCTGCTGTCAGATCATTTGCTCTACTTCAAGGGTGGGGAAACTCTGGCCCTGAAGATGTTATTGGACTAACCCCCATCAGCCCTAGACTCTATAGCCAACAATCAGGGAAGATGGAAGCTGTAGGGCTGCCTTCAGATGTCTCCTAAAGGTTGTCTAGTTACTTATCTCCTTGGCTCAGGGGCTGTATAAAGGTAAAGGTAAAGGGACTCCTGACCATTAGGTCCAGTCGCGGACGACTCTGGGGTTGCGGCACTCATCTCGCTTTATTGGCCGAGGGAGCTGGCATACAGCTTCTGGGTCATGTGGCCAGCATGACTAAGCCGCTTCTGGTGAAGCAGAGCAGTGCACGGAAACTCCGTTTACCTTCCTGCTGGAGCGGTACCTATTTATCTACTTGCACTTTGATGTGCTTTCAAACTGCTAGGTTGGCAGGAGCAGGGACCGCGGTAGCAACGGGAGCTCACCCTGTCGCAGGGATTCAAACCGCCGATCTTCTGATCGGCAAACCTAGGCTCAGTGGTTTAAGCCACAGCGCCACCCGCGTCCCTTTTCAGGCGTCGTACAACTCCATGCATTTCTCTGATGAAAAGTGGGACGTCCTAAGGAAAAGTGGGACATTCCGGGATCAAATCAGAAACTGGGATGGCTTCTGTAAATCCGGCACTGTCCCTGGAAAATAGGGACATTAGGAGGGTTTGGCCCCTATAGAGAGGGTATTACTTAAGAGAATTGTTATTGACATCCCTCTTGTCTGGGGAGACAATAGAAGAGGGGGCCTTGTGCGGGGTGAAAGGGGCAAAGTCAAACTGTTGGAGAGTTACAGCGCCTGCTGTGGCTGTGGAGACAGATATTGGAGAGATGTTTTATTGCAGGTGGGGCAAACAAAGGCATCTGTTTTTGCTGCTACAGGGGCATCATGGTAAAGTTTGGTCATTGCTGTGGGTCAGCCAGACAAAGGACACTAATGGGAAATTTGGCTGCTCATTGTCTTGGAAAGCACCTTGGCTTGAACATACCTCCAAGTGATAAAGAGCCTCAGACTGCATTACCACCTCCTTAAGAGTGTGCGCAAGGAGAATAGCAGAGAGATTGCATTGGATTTTCACTTTGCTAAGAGTCAATTTGGATTTCAGGGAACTGGTTGCTGGGTTGCAGTGAAAGTGTCTTTCCTTAGCAGTGCAGTGTGAACAGCCTCGCAACTGCCAGGCAGTTTGCGCTGCCTATCAACAGACCCATTCTCTGGTTACAGTCTCTTCTCTAGCTGCTGGGAAACCCATGCGTGTAGCTGCCATGAAAAAGGAAAGAAGGAAGGAAGGAAGGAAGGAAGAAAGGAAGGAGCAAACTCAGTGCTGGAGATCATTCGGGAAAGATAAAAAAATAAAGCTGCCAGTATCATATTGCCTTTATACAAATTGATCATGCAACTACGCTTGGAATAATGTGTCTAGTCTTGGTTAAGGTAAAGGTAAAGGGACCCCTGACCATTGGGACCAGTCGTGACCGACTCTGGGGTTGCAGCGCTCATCTCGCTTTATTGGCCGAGGGAGCCGGCGTACACCTTCCGGGTCATGTGGCCAGCATGAATAAGCCGCTTCTGGCGAACCAGAGCAGCGCACGGAAACGCCGTTTACCTTCCCGCCAGAGCGGTAACTATTTATCTACTTGCACTTTGACGTGCTTTCAAACTGCTAGGTTGGCAGGAGCAGGGACAGAGCAACGGGAGCTCACCCCGGCACACGGATTCGAACCGCTGACCTTCTGATCGGCACGTCCTAGGCTCTGTGGTTTAACCCACAGCGCCACCTGCGTCCCAACCCAGTCTTGGTTGCTGCACCTCAAAAAGGATATTGTAGAGTTATAGAAGGTGCAGAAGAGGACAATCGAGCAGGGGCAAACGAAGGTGCCGTGACACCTGGGGTGGGGCATCGCTATATAGGGCACATGTGTGGCGTCGCTACGTACGACGCTTGCGCTGTACGTTGCACCGCCGCACTTGCCGCCGCCACTTCAGCGCCGTATGGATGATGCCGATATCCTCTGCTTGCGGCTGTAGCAGCGACGGAGGGATCCCAGCCCCGTCCGTATGGCGCTCGAGTGGCACCAGCGGCAAACCGCTATGTACAGCTCATGTGTGGCCTTGCTACGTACAGCACATGCGTTCAAATCTGCTCGGGCCACCATGCCCAGGCTGGGGCGGCAGGGCAAGCACCCCATGGGGTGCTGCCTTGTCACCCTCCCAGATGTGGAACCCAGGGCGCATCGCCCCCCCCCCCCCCCGTTGCGACGCCACTGCAATCGAGATGACCTGGAGGCTGGAGCATCTTGCCTATATGAGGAAAGGCGACAGCATTTTGAGCATTTTTGCGGCTGTGTAGAGAAGAGATGAGCAGAACTGTGGAAGGCATGTTGAATTTTTCACCTTTCAGATTTCAACATTGAGGGGTGCTAAAAAATTATAACATGACTTGGGAATCCAAAAGTTATCTTGCTTAAATTAATATATCATTTTGCTTAGTACCTAAAATGTTTGTAAAACTGCATAGAGATAATTATAAATGATTGCTAAGTATTTGTAGTTATATGGTATATGAATATTATTATAGAATCATTATTTAGCATTACCTGACATTTACAGGAGGTAACATTAAAATTTTCCAGAAGAGAGTTTATGTGCTTCTTCATCAAACGTAGACTTACAAAGCTAAATGTTGTGCAGTTGCAAAAAATAATAGATTTGAATTCCTCAGACCCAAAAACGTATTTTTAACACCCCTCAATGAAGAAGTTTGCAAAAGTTGAGCTTTGCCCCCTAAAATGACACACCCCAATTGTATATCATTATGCAAAGTTTAGATTCTTGTATTGCAGGGGGTTGGACTAGGTGACACTTGGGGGCCCTTCGGACTTGCAATTCTATAATTCTGTGTGGAGAAAGTGGATAGGCAATAGTTTTCATTTCATAATATTAGACCCCACTGACATCTAATGAAGTTGAGGAGATTCAGGACAAAAACAAGGAGGAATTTCTTTACACGATACACAGTTAAACTATGGAATTCAGTCTCAGAAGTTGTAATGACTTCTTAGATTACGTTAAAGGGGGATAAAACAAATTCGTGGAGAATCAGTGGCCTTTAGTCATGACAGCATCATATGCTACTTCCAGAAGCAGAGGTCATGCTCCTCTAAATGCTGTCCGCTGGGGATTTACCATGGGAGAGAGGCCTGTTGCTCTAGTGTGCTGTTTATGGGCTTCCCATGGGCATTTGGCTGGCAACTGTGAGAGCAGGTGCCCAGTGTGAAACATGGACAACTTATAAATGCCATCTCCAACTCCTCAAAAGATTCCGTCAACGGCGTCTCCAAAAAATTTCACACATCACTTGGGAAGACAGGCGAACTAATGCCAGTGTACTGGAGGAAGCAAAAATCACCAGTGTTGAAGCTATGATTCTTCAACATCTGCTTCGTTGGACTGGTCACATTGTTCAGATGCCTGATTATCATCTTCTAAAACAACTACTCAATTCAGAACTAAGAAATGGCAAGCGTAATGCTGGTGGTCAACAAAAGAGGTTCAAAGACTCTCTCAAGGCAAATCTAAAAAAAATGTAGTATAAAGACTGACAGCTGGAAAACACTGGCCTGCAAGCGCTCCAGTTGGAGAATAGCCTTTACCAAAGGTGTCATGGGCTTTGAAGACGCTCAAACTCAGGACAAAAGGGAGAAACACGCTAAGAGGAAGACACACTTGGCAAACCCTCACCATGATCAAATCCCGCCCGGAAACCTATGTGTCTCTACTGTGGAAGGATATGTGGATCCAGAACTGGCCTCCACAGTCGCTTGCGGACTCCCTGTTGAGATTGTGTTCATGGATGACAATCTTACTCGGCTACGAGTGATTGCCAAAGAAGAAGAGTGGTTAGAGTGTTGGACTAGGCCCCAGGAGACTAGGGTTCAAATCTCCACATGGCCTTCAAGCTCATTGGGTGATGTGTTGTTGTTTTTAATTATTTATCATTTTCATTTCACAATAAGAACAATAAATAGTAATCCAAATACCAAATACACATTTAATTTCGACTTCCCTGTGTCCTTTCCATGGTTCACTTCATTATTTTCTTTTCCACTACATATTCTCATTGATCTCTATCTTTTCATTTTCTATATCTGCAGAGTTATTACTGCTGAATTTACTCTGTTTAACAGTACTCCGTTACTGTTAACCTTTTAATATGCTTATATTTTTCCAAATAATCCACAAAACATTTCTAATCTTCTTTAAATATCTCATTTGGGTAGCGTTGGGCCAGCCACTGTCTAATTTACGTCATAGGGTTATTCTGAGGATAAAATGTGGTGACCAGAATCACGTATACCACTTGAGCTTCTTGGGAGGAAAGGCGGGATATAAATAAAATAAAATAAGCAGAACATTGGAACTTATGGGCTGGGCTGGGGAACCTGTGGCCTTCCAGAGGTCACTAGGTTACAGCTCCCATCATCCCAGGCCATTGGCCATGCTGCCCAGGGCTGATGGGAGTTGGAGTCCAACAGCATCTAGAGAGACAGTTTCCCCACCTGTGAGATTATATCCTTACAAGAGCATTCCTCCTGTTCAGGGCTTCAGTTGAAACTCACCAGAATTGTCAGGTGGGCACCACTGCCATTATAAGAGAACAAGGGAGGCGTACATGATGGGTTCCTGCACCTCTTTTTCTAGAAATATAGCACTGTACCTGTTCCTCTGCTTCCGGCCCCATAAAATTTGCCTTTGTTTCTCTTCTACTTCCACCTTCCTTGTTGTCCAAGCAGTCTCCCGCCTGAACAGCCTGGATGCAGCCGTCCACCGCCTCAATGTGCAGTTCCACCTCATGGACGTGAAGGTCTCCCAGTTCTCTCAAGGCCTGGCTGAACTGAAGGGGAGCATGACGGAGGCTCACGAATCGCTCGACTCCTTGAAAGAAGTCACCACCCGCAACCAGAAAGAGCTCGGAAGAATCGATGGTGAGGACAGGGGGCAGGGAGGCAATGCACATTGGGAGTGGTTAGGAAAACAGGGAGCAGCCCTATACTGTCATTGGTTCCATTCCCTGCAATGCAGGAATCTTTCACCTAACGTGGTCCTCAAGCCCACCACCCTGAAATTAAGAGTCTAAGACTAAGCTATCCCTCCAGTAAAGTGTTTTTTGGCTTTGTTTTAAAGACAAAAAGGATCAGGAAGGCCAGCCACAGATCTCCAGCATCATGTCTGCTTCTGGCCCTCAGCCTGCAAGGGCAGGAAGTGGCTAAAGGGCAATAACAGGCAGAGCCCTTGGAAATGCAAAGCCATGTTGAGAGCTGGACCGAGCGCCTGAGGCCGCCAGTTGCCAAATCCCTCCTTTAGCTCAAAAAGCTGTCGTTCTTTTGGTGTCAAGATTGTGTGGTGTGTGTGTGTATGTGTGTCAGAGAGTTAGGATTTCGTATGCTGCTCAGGGCTGATGGAGCGTAAGGATCAAAGCAAAGGTTATTCAGGGAAAGAGGGGGATTGTCTGAATCTAGCACACTGAGCTCGGGTTGAGATGTGAGGGTGGAGGGGTTTCTCTCTCTTTATATCTTTATATAATTTATTATTCTTATTTTTCAAACGTTTTCACATTGACCTTCAAATCAAACACACTATTTCCCACCCTCATCTCTGCAGCATTTTTACTCAAACCTTTTCTACTGCATTAGATCTTTATCTATCACAAAATTTCTCTGTTCTAATTATTTTGTCATTTTCCCTCCTGCCCGCGATTTCATTTGACTGTAATATTTTTTTTAAAAAATAGGCCACGAAAGGCCTCCATTCTTCAGGATGGAGGCGTTTCTCAAGGCCATTCATCCTCTGTTGCCCCCATGTGTCAAAGTTCAGACTGCAGGCTCCTTGGGGCAGAGACCTATCTCCTTGCATTCCACTTGATGGAATCGCAAGCTGTAGGTAGCAGCAGTTGCCATTGTAACCATGACACTCTCTGCCCTATCCCAAGGTTGCCTGCGAGGCCGCCGGACCCACGGCAAATGCTTCCTGATCTTCAAGAACTTCGAAGTCTACGACGCAGCGCAAAAACTGTGCGAGCTCAGGGGAGGGAACCTGGCCATGCCAGCAGATGCCACCGAGCTGGCCTTCCTGCGCCGCTACCTCTACGACGCCTTCCAGCCTAACAACTGGCCTGTCTGGGTGGGCATCAACGACCGGCGCTCAGAAGGGCTGTGGCTCTTCGAGAACGGGCAGCGCGTGTCCGTCTTCGACTGGTACCGCGACTTCCTGGTGACTCAACCCAACGGCGGTGCTCGGGAGAACTGCGTGTCCCTCAGCTCAGACGACGGGAAATGGTGGGACAATGACTGCGAGCGGCGGATGTATTACGTCTGCGAGTACCGCCTCTAGGGGGGGCGGCTGTCTCAGGTCCAGTCCCAGGTGCGCATGGTCGCCATAGGTATCCTTCCGCTTACAGTGCAATGGTTAGCATGTCTGGGCTATGTGGGGCTACAACCTCTGGAAGGCAGTGTGCTCTGCCCCATTTTTCGCACCCTCAACCTTACCCCAAGGCACGCACCACACACTCTTACTGGTGGCCCTGTTAGCCAAAATATCCCACTTATTTCGTAGCCCCCACATCATAATAAAAAGCACCTTGCCCCCTCAGAGAGGAGGAAATGCTGTGTCTTGCAAACAGGAATTTCCATGTCCCTAGTGTCCCCGTCCCCCCCCCCCAGAAAGAGAGGTGCCAGAACTCACCATGAACACTTCCCTCGTTCTCTTAAAATGGCAATGGAGAGGTGCACAGGTTCCGGCTGCCAAAAATGCCCTGCATATCCCAGAGTTTTGCTTTTTCTATTGCATGGTGATTTGGCAATTGTAATTCTAACAGGATCTCTTGGGTACTAAAATGTTTTTAGGGGGCCTGGCATGCAATACACCTTGAAGTGAGGGTGGGGATTTTTTGTTGTTGAAATTGTGGCGCTGTCGCCGAAACCTGTTCATGGGCCTAGTCAGGATTTATGTTACGAGGGGCAGGGTACCCACCCGTCATCCTCCTCTGTCTGGTTCTGTCTAACAGATTCAGAATGAAATGTCTCAACAACAGTTGTTTTTCGTGACTTTCTTTTGACCCCAATTGTTCAGAAATCTTTCTACAATTTCTACTTTTAGTTACGTATTTTTATTTATTTACTTACCCCCCTGGCTACGCCCATAAGCCTGTTGCACACATAAGACCATTCAGTTCCAGGTCGAGAAGCCATCGTGACTGGGGAAAACGCAGCTGTCTCTCTCTCTCCACTCTGAGGGTCAAACTAAACATGGCGTTTGTCACGCAGTGTGGCCTTGGTGGCACGGCCAATTTTTCCGTGAAAAATAATTGGTGCATTGGAGTCAGTGAACTGAGGAGGGCAGTGGTAGTCAACTCTCTGCTCCCTCGAATGGATCGGGCCCTCTTGGGCCTACTCTTGAGTGAAAGAAAAGTTCCCATTTGACCAGAAGAGCAGTCCAAAGAGGAGAGTGTGCTCAATACCTTCCCAGGTCTGAACCACATTCCTTCAAGCTACAATGAGGAGTGGGAACTTTGGATACAAAATGGCTGCTTCAGAATTAAACAGACTTGCACAAATTCATTCACAGATCGTCTTGATGGCTCCTCTGCATCAGCCCCTTTTTGAGCCCCCTCAAATTCCTCAGCAGGGCAAACCTTTATTCTGACGCAATTATATTCATATATTTAAAGAATCAGGGACAGCAGACCTACCCTATATAGGCAAAAATACTGACGGGTGACAAACTTGCTTTCAAATTCTCTGCTTCCCTCTGCACCCCAGACCTTTTGTGCAGCACCATCCCATGGCATTTACTCAGAAGTAAGCCCCACCAAGTTCAACGGGACATAGTGCCTAGCATGTGAGTTTTAGGCCTAAGCATAGCTGTCAACCTTCCCTTTTTTGGCGGGAAATTCCCTTATTCCAGCACAGTTTCCCACTGCTTCCCCGGATTGTTAGATATCCCATAGACTGTCCCTGGGACAGGCGAAACTGCTTATCCCTTATTTTCGAGGCTGCTGATCCCTTATTTTCAAATCTGAAAGTTGACAGCTATGGGCCTAAGTGAGTTTAGGCTCCAGTGTCTTATCGCCCTATGTTGCTAGCCAGCTCTCTGAGGGAGCTGGGCCTTCCTTTCTCCCCCCACTGAAGGACGTTTACCAAGACACGAAGGTGAAATTCCTCACCGTGTGCCTCTTTCCCTCACCAGGGCCTATAAGCTGTCGCTGAATGCACTTTGGGAGCTCAAAGAGGGGAATGCTAAAAACCTGAGGGCTCTGGCACCTGCAAAGTGTGGGCAGATGAGGGGAAAGCAGAGACGCCACATGAGAGAAGTCATAGGGCTGAAGTGTGGAGTCAGATGGCAATTTAATTTCACCGTTGCCAGTGGAGTTTTTCTCTTGTATGTGGCTCCCTTCAGCTCCCTTATACTGTCCCACTTTCTAGGGCGGCCTCCACCAAAAGGTGCTTTGAGATGATCACTGGTTAGCTCAGTTGGTTACAGCATGGTGCTGACAGAACGTCAAGGTTGCAGGTTCGATCCCCCCATGGGACAGCTGCATATTCTTGCATTGCAGGGGATTATAGAATTGTAGAGTTGGAAGGGACCCTGAGGATAATTTTTTTCCAACCCCCTACAATGCAGGAATAGGCAGCTGTCCTATACGGAGATCGAAGCTACAGCCTTGGTGTTATCAGCACAGCACTCTAACTACTGAGCTACCCAGACAGGGTTGGACTAGATGATCCTCAGGGTCATTTCCATGATTCAATCACTACAACTCCCATCAGCTCCAGGGAGCAGTGCTAATCCAAAATATCTGGAAGGCCTCAGTTGGTGAAGGCTGCCACTGCCATAGGGCATGAACCTGCTGCCTTGGGGTAAATCTCTTCAGCTGCTTCTCTCCCCCCTCCCTCCTGTTCACCCTTCTTAAGAAAACCAGAAGTGCCCTTTTAAAATAAAGCATACTTTTATTTTCTTGTTGAAGCACCAATTTCAATTTTTGAAAAACACACACAAAAGAAAACATGTTCCAGTACTGAAAGGGAAGCAGGGGGGGAAAGGTTAAAAAATGAAACCCAAGCCAAGCTGCCTCCCCCCCCCCCCAATGTGGGAGTGACATTAAGGGGAGGGGGCAGGAAAGAGAAAAGACATGCATTCATGTTTCCAGCTTTGTTCCTCCATGTTCTGGAGAGACACGTTTCAGCCACATGCAAACCGGACTAGGGGTGTATGTAAATGAAGTTGGAAGGGGGAGAGTAGAAAGGAATGGGTTAATACTATCTTTGGTTTATTATGCTAACTGACTGCTTGGCCCAGAAGGGTCGGTGGTATACCAGAAGGGGGGCATTTCTGATCCCAAAGAGGGGAGGGCCAGTGTCCTCTAAACACCCTCTTTTTTCTTTACTCTGTTTTTGAGTCTTTCTAATCTGTGCCTGGGACCCCTACCCGCATGGAGGAGAAAAGAAGGCAGATGCAATCACATGATTTCAGGTGCAAAGGGAGATAGTTCGGGGCCTGAAGGGATTTCCCAGACACAATTTTCTCCATGCTCCCACCCTGCCCAATATCCTAGAAAAAGGAAATGAAAGGGAGCAGATGAGTTTGTTTTCTGATTAGATCCCTCCTCAAACTGCTGCTTGGGATATTAAACCATCAACATCCCCTGCCTTTAAGCTCAAAGGACACCTGGACATAAATATACATAAATATTATATATATATATATATATATATATATATATATATATATATATATGGGAGGGAATTGGAAATCCACAATACCTACTGTGGAAAAACTGCCTCTTTCCCCTCCCCCAATTGCAATCCTCCACCCCACCCCCCTTGCAATATATGGCTAATTACAATCCAGCCCACTTGGAATATTCCACTCTGCTATTTTGTCCCACTTCCTCCACCTTCCTACGTGAGCTCCTTCTGCATTCCCCCTGCTTTTCAATTCCTGTGGTTTCCTCTATCGGAGTCCCTGCCAAATCCAACTCCCCAAAATCCTCCCCGCTCTCAGTCAGAGCTCCACCTCTCCCCCCCTACACGCATGGAATATTCCAGCCCCACCTCTACTCTTCCCCCCCAACTTTGTTTGTGGGCCATTCCTGTCCTCAGATGCTCCCTCTCCTTTCCTTTCATGGAACATCCCTGTCCTTTGCTGCTGCGCATCTTCTACCAGGCAGGAGAGAAAAATGGGGCTGCAATGCAAGCGAGAGAAGCGCTGTGAAAGCCATACGCACCTCCTCCCTCACGTTCACACACCCCTTTTCCCTTGTGGCACGTGGACTATTCCTTCACATCAGGCCTCCCACCCCTTTGATGGACCACTTCTGTCCTCAGCCTCCTCTCCCCCCCCCCAACCTTAAAATGGACCATTCCTGTTCTCCAAAATGACTACTATGGCCATATCTATTATCTTTTCGCTCCAGGCTGTTTCTGGCTGATGGACAGGCACCACCACCCCTCTCCAAAAAAGCGCCCAAATGGTTTGTTCTGCTCCTCTTTACCCTCTTGTCTCTCAAAACCACACAGAGCATTAAGCCTGTCCCACAGGGAGAGAGAGAAGGGAGGAAAGAAGGAAGGGAAGAGCGTTCTCCGGAAGCATTTTTGCCACCCTCGCGCCTTTGGGGGGGGGGAGGCAAAGAAGGGTGCCCTGCCCACCCAAGCCACCCATTTCCTTTCCCCGTGTCCTAATAGAGCATGGCTCGGTTGCCGTGGAGGAACACCAGCATATCGACGTGCTCTGGCGTCAGGGCCTGCCGCTTGGTGTGCATGGCGTCGCCGGCGCTGCTGAATAGCCAGCCCGCGGGCACCGAGGTGGCAGGCACGCCAAGCAGCTTGCGGGCTGCCCGGGCCAGCAGCGGGTACTGCGTGTGGTGCATCTTCCACCACTGCAGAGGATCCTGGCCGAGGGCGGAGGCCTTGCTGGACTGGAAGCTGCTGGCCTCCTGCTCCACCTGCTGATGCGCCGAGCTGGTGCCCGAGGCGGCACGCATGCTGCACAGGTCCCCCAGCAGGAACTCGATGCCTGCGTCTTGCTTTGGCACCTTGGCTGGCGGCGACGGGGGCAAGGCCATGCCCGGCGGGCCGGAGGCCTGTGCTGCCGGCGACTCCGCCAGCCGCGACGCTTCCGCCTTGAGCAAGTGGAGGGTTTCCACGCGGTCCGAGTGGCTCAGGAAGTCGAGGCCGCGGAAGCGCGGGTCCAGGGCGCAGGCCAGGTTGAGGGCTTGGTTGACGTCTGGGCTGGAGAAGTGCTGGTTCAGTTCCTTCTGGGCCGCGGCCTTGGCTTCCAGCACCAGGGCGGAGTCCCACTCGCTGCCCACCAGGTGTTTATAGAGAAGGCTGGTGAGCACGGGCTTGACGAGGGACAGGCTGGAAAAGGGGTCTTTGGTGAATGTTGAGGTAGCAATGGCCATGGGCTTGAGGACCTTGGCCGCATCCCGAAGGGCAGCCCAGTCCTGGGGGCGCAGCGTCGCCTCCCCGTCGGGGCCGAGCCCCGCCAGAGGGTCGCTGTGCTCCAGCAGGCCTTGCAGGACGGCATAGGCGCTGTGCCACTTGCCCCCGTCCCGCAGGAAGCGGCCGAGGTGCGCTTGCAGGAGGGGCTCCTGGGCCCACAGTTTCTCGCCACGGCCTGCCCCGGCCAGCGCCCAGGACGCCAGGCGCCGCAGCCGCTCGAAGGCACCCTGCACTGCTGGCTGGCTCAGCACAGCCTCCATGGCGGCTCGCAAGGCCTGCCCAATGCAAGGCAGGGCGGTCCAACCAAGCGCCGCTGCGGCCTGCTGGGTAGTGAGCCCAAGGCCTCCGACGGTGTATGAGGTGCTCTCACGGACCCCCCACTCCTTGGCCGCCTCACTGAGGGCCTCTGCCAGGCCGTCGGCGCTGGGCTCTTCGGGGATGGGGCGGCTCGAGAGCACCCTCGCACGGGCTTCGAAGCAGTCGTCCACGTAGTGCACGGTGAGAGTGAGGTAGGTGAGAGTGTTGCTGTGGCGCCAGATGTCCAAGCTGAGCGAGCACTGGGGCAGGGTCCGCACCAGCTCCCAGATTTTCCCCTTCACGTGGGTCTGCATGTCCCTCAGCACCGTGTGGGCCAGGGAGGCAGCATCTGGGGGCTTGTAGTTGGGGTCCAGGACCCCCAACATCTGCCCAAACCCTTCTCCTTCCACCACCTCCACTGGCATCAGGTCGAGCACGATGAAGTCGGCCACCGCCCGCGTGGTCCTGCCTGGGGCGGGAGGCCGGGGGGCTCCGAACTCGCTCGCCGTCCCCAGGACCCCTTTGTCCAGAGCAGCCGTCTGGGTCCCAACCAGCTGGTTGTACTCGCAGCGGTGCTTGTAGATGAGGTGCTGGCGTAGGTTGGTGGTGTTGCCACTGTAGCTGAGGCGGACTCCGCACAGCTTACAGATGATCTTGCTCTTGTCCAGGATGCGGCCGTAGGCATCCCCCTGGAACCCAAAGAAAGTCCAGTAGCGGCTCTGCGCCCTCCCCAGCCCCACCAGGTTCTGCGTCCCTTCCAGCAGCGGGAAAGGGCTTCCTCCCGGGGGGAGGCCCGGCTTGTGGAGGGGCAGCAGGGGAGAGGCGGCGGCGTCTCCGCACAGGTACTGGGTGCGGGAAGAAGGGGCGTGGGGAGCGGGAGGCGGCGGCGGGGTCTTGAGGTGCAGCTCCTGGAAGAGTTTCATCAGCAGCTCCTTCTCGCCAAATTCGTACTTAAAATGCTCGCCTGGAAGGGAGAGATAACAGCGCAAAGGTGAGGGTCTGCTACATCTGCAGAGATGCAAGGCAGCCAACCCTGGAACAGTCCCTCTGCTGTTGTAGGGTGAGCAAATTATGGCATGGGAGTTCCCCACCACCACTCCTCCCATGCTATTTAGCAACACAGTCCCTCACCTCCCCCCAACCAACACCCCAGATTAGGGCCCTGTTAAGTCTGTTCAACAATCTGGCCATGGCTGAAGAGGCCTCCATCTCTGCTGCTGGAAAAATAGACCAAACTGGATAGTTCAGTTGCTTGCAGCATAGTGCTGATAGCACCAAGGTTGCAGGTTCGATCCCCGTATGGGACAGCTGCATATTCCTGCTTTGCAAGGATGATCCTCAGGGTCCCTTCCAACTCTACAATTCTGTGATTCTATGTGTGGGGAACCTTTGCACCTCCCGGGTGTGGATGAACCACAACTCGCATCAGACCCACCAAGAAGTAGTGTCAAGAGGCGGCAATGTTTCTTGGTACCAGTTGTTGGAAACCGCAGGAGAAGAGTGCTCTTGTGCTCAGATCCTGCTTATGGGTTTCCCACAGGCATCCGGTTGGCCACTGTGAGAAAAGGATGCTGCACCAGATGGGTCTTTGGCCTGATCCAGCAGGCTCTTTCCATGTTCTTACGGACCCGAATTCCAAAGTCCCTCCTTATTCCCAGTGGCTGGTCAGGAGGGACCCACAAACTTTGAACTGTGGCAGCCACTTCGCATGTGCAGTTGCCATGACCCTATACTTCTCCTGCTTTTGTACCTGGTGCCATGCTGAGCTTTGGAACTGCTCTGAGCACAGCACAAGGCTTAGGGAGAATGCCTTCCTTGGCTCCAAGCTTGGGAGAACAGGGAGGCGTTTTCTTTCTTACCCACCCAAGTGCAGGGGGGAAAGGGGGCTGCAAAGGTGAACACGGAGAGTCAATGACCCCTTGCCACTCCATCCCAAAGCTGTGTACACCAGCTCTTCAAACAGTGTGCCAGGCTGGGTCTACATTTAAGCAACATTGTACAGTCATACCTTGGAAGTTGAACGGAATCCGTTCCGGAAGTCCGTTTGACTTCCAAAACGTTTGGAAACCAAAGCATAGCTTCTGAATGGCTGCAGGAAGCTCCTGCAGCCGATTGGAACCTGCGGAAGCCCCGTTGAACATTCAGGTTCCAAAGAACATTTGCAAACTGGAACATTTACTTCCAGGTTTGCGGCATTCGGGAGCAAAAACGTCTGAGTACCAAGGCGTTTGGGATCCAAGGTCCGAATGTACTGTGAATTGCTTTGGTTTGATTCTGTTGCAGGAAAAAACTTAAAAATAAATAAATGTTGCGTTCACAACAACAAAAACTTGGCAATAATGGGAAATGAAGGCTAGTTGTGGGGTAAAGAGAGACCCTTTAATGGGTAATCTGGGAGCCTAGGAATATAACCACAAGCCAAGATGCCACAGTATTCCATACAGTAGCACCACTGGGGCAAGACTTGGGGGGCAAGAAGCCCAGCGACCCCACTCAGGAGAATGAGAAGAGCCCTCAAAGCAGTGAGGCTGGCTTGCCCCATTTTGAATTCAGTGAAGGAATGCACACTGCAATGCAAAGAGGACCCCCAACCCAAACCCCACACAATAGAACTATTAAATCCAGAGCCGAAATTATCTCCTGTTTCTAGGTCATATGTGAGGAATGAAACTCAGGAACTATTTCCTCAATGGGGTAATGTTTTGTGGCTGTTGTTAGCATTGGGGAGGGTCATGGGGTATGTTTAAAAAGATAACCCCGATCATTTGGCTCTTGGGTGCGCTTTGTCCCTAACTGGGCTCACTGCACATTGCTGTGAAGATCTCAGGTTTGATTCCTGACACCTCTAGTTTAAAAATGACCAGGCAGCAGGGAGTGGGAAGGACGTTTGCAGGAGATCCCGGAAAAACCGCCACCGGTCAAGAGTATCCCAGTTGTCAGACCTGGTGCTCGGCAGCTTCCTTAGGTGATTACAAGACTGCAGGGAGAAGGGAACACGGGAGGCCTTGCAACATGTCCCACTCCCCTCCTCTTCTTCTTTTTGCCTACCTAAGCGTAATCCCAGCGTGCGTGCATACTCCTCCCCTATCCACACCAGCAGCTCTGTGTCGGCAGGTATGGTCTGGCAGACCCGGTAGTAGATATAGCCCCGGTACTGGAAAACAGTCAGGTTCTGCTCCTCCTCGGTGGAGGCGCACGCCACATATCTGCAGGGAGGAAGCGGGGATGAGTCACACTGTGTTTTTTGGGGGGGGGGCATGCGTCATGCTTTACTCGCTGGTGGATGCACCGAGCGGTAGCCGCAGCAGTACGACTCCAGGGTAAAGCCAGCCCACAGTCTGCAAGGAGGCTGGAAGCACTCCCCTATGACTAAACAAGCATTCACCACGGGGATCACTCCAGCATCCTATGGGGGCTGAAAAGCTGCCAAACCTAATTCATCACGGGGTGTGTGTCTGTGTAGCTCCATGGATATAATGTATGCAACTAAGCTGGGACGGGTGTATATTCCCTTCCTTCCTTCTGCTGGGCCTCTTTCCCAAGGGGCTCACCTCATCCAGTTGGATCTGGAATCATCCGACGCGTCGACAAAGAAGTAGGAGCCGTTGTCCTGCACCTGAAGGAGGGATGGAAAGATCAGGGAAGGAGAAGAAGAACGAAACAAAAGCTCCACTCTCACCCAACCCCTACCTTAAGGCTCCTCTGTATGTATAGTGGTACCTCGGGTTAAGTACTTAATTCGTTCTGGAGGTCCATTCTTAACCTGAAACTGTTCTTAACCTGAAGCACCACTTTAGCTAATGGGGCCTCCTGCTGCTGCCGCGCCCAATTTCTGTACTTATCCTGAAGCAAAGTTCTTAACCTGAAGCACTATTTCTGGGTTAGCGGAGTGTGTAACCTGAAGCGTATGCAACCTGAGGTGTATGTAACCCGAGGTACCACTGTATTTACAGAGCATCCATCCTAGATTTGCTTGCGCAAAACTTGTGCAAAGGTTAGATTATATCCAGTCTTAATTGATCACCCATTCTGATCTGCTTATGGGGAGGTTACATGATAGTAAGTGGTCATCCTGAATTACCAGCAGGCTCTTTATATCTCTCTCCCCTCCCCACTTTGATCATTCATTCATTCCACACTTCCCGGTGCATTTTCCTGGCACTTTCCCAACCACAAAAAAGTCTTATTTCTTTTCCCCTAAAGTGGATTTGTTGCACTAGGGTGATATCGGGTGCTTTTACTGCACTCCAAATGTGCAAATCTGAATTTCCCAGTAGGAATGTGAAATCCTCCTGCAAAATAGTTCTCGATGCACCCTTAAGAATTTGCCTGACATCACAGGCACCCCAGCCACAAGGGACAGGGCTGGGCTTCCAAGTGGATGGCTTAAAAGTGTGCCACGATCTGGGCCCAGGTGTGTGTGTGTGTGTGTCACTCTCACTGTACACTAACCCATCACTTTCAGCAGCCTAAGGTGGATTTCAGGTCTGCAAGCCAGAGACAAGCCAGAAAGCATTTCGAAAGGGAATAGAGCGCCATCTACAGTGGATCTGAAAAACGTCAAATACCTTAAAGTAGGTGTGAGCAAGTTTTCAGATTTTTATTTTTTTTTTAATTATTATCTAGACTACCCCCAGGGCCTACTAACTGAAGCCGGGTACAAAATAGTGACCCAGAGATCTCAATCCAGAAAAGCTCAGGAAAAGGAGCCAATCATTCCCTTCAGCCCATAAAGTCAAACACTGAGATAATTTACAGGTAGCTAATACAAATCAATATCTACTCCAGTCAATTTTGTGTGAGTGTAGGGCCAACAGCCTTTTTGAAACTGCCTTTGTTGAGCAACTGGGAGCCAGAAACCCATGCAGATCAACTGCAAGTCATCCAAGGACTTATCAGTTATAGTGGAACCTTGGTTCTCGAACTTAATCCGTTCCGAGTCTGTTCGACTCCCCAAACCATTCAAAAACCAAGGCGCGGCTTCCTGCACTCAAATCGGAAGCTGCGGAGGACGTTCGGCTTCCAAAAAACATTCACAAACCGGAATACTTACTTCCGGGTTTGCAGCATTCGGAAGGTGATTTGTTCGGGAGCCAAGGCGTTTGGGAACCAAGGTACCACTGTATTCCCAACCAACCTTCTGCCCATCCTTCCACATGGACCAGTTTGCTGAGCAGGTTTGGATTCCGGTTTCCTGCCCTCCTTTAGGGTTGCAGGGAGACTGTGTATCCTGATCACCCAAAACACACCTGGAAAAATATTCCACTTGAGCCTTTCCATGTACTGAACAGCAGCAAAGCTGCCATTTTGCAAATGTTGGCTCAGGTGAACATGAAAAGAGCATGCTGGATCACACCAGAGGCCTGTTTAGTCCATCACTGTGTCCTACAGTGGCCAACCAGACACCTCTTGATAGGGCAACAATAGCCCTCTTCTTGCTGTTGCTGCCTAGCGACTGATACTCAGAGGTCTCTGATATTGAAGGCAGTTTGTGACAAATAACCTTTTCCCCACATCTGCATTTTATTTTATTTTTAAAAGCGAGAGCTTTATCTTCTTCCTCTCTCTTGGGATTGCACCTGAAGAAGCAAAGGAAGGATTAATTGCATGCAAGCGGCTGTTGCAATGCAGTGAGTGTTGTGCTCAGATTGGAGAGTCCAGAGTTCAAATCCTCACTCGGCCAGGAAGCTTATTGGGTGGCTAGGGCATGCTACAATTTTTCCCAGCCTTACCTAGCTCTCGATCTCCTGGGGTTGCTGAGATGTCAAAACTGAGGGCAAGGGCAACACAGAGGGAAGATGAAATAGCTCATTGCTAGAGCATGCATGCACTTTGCTTTCGGAAGATCCCAGGTCCAATGACTGATATTACCTGGCCAGGCTGGGAAAGACCTCTCTGCCTATCAAGAGTAGACAATACTGAGTGAGATGGACAGAGAGTCTGGTACAAGTTCTGTGGCCTTGGTCAGGTTCTATCAGCCTGGATAGCTCAGTTGGTTAAGAGCATGGTGATGATAACACCAAGGCTGCAGGTTCGATCCCCGTATGGGGACACCTGCATATTCCTGCATTGCGGAGTGTTGGGCTATATGATCTTCGGGGTCTCTTCCAACTTTACAATTCTGTGGTTTAAAAATAATGCTAAAAATGTAGCAGAAAAACCACATTGAAAAACAGAAACAACTCTCTCGACCACCTCATCAGTGTGGACAGAAGAGAATTGACTGCCACTGAATAAGGACTTGTGCTAATCTTGGGGTAAAGGTGCTTGGGTTTGCAGATCATCTGAACTAAACCTTTTATTGCACGTGCAGAAAGATCTACAGCCCACAACCAGTCTTTATAAGGCTTAGAGCAGGTCTGGGGAAGCTGCGGCCTTCTGGATATTTGTTAAGGCTCCAATTCCCATGAGTAGGGTTGCCATATGTCCTGGAATTCCCTGACATGTCCTCTTTTGGGGGGTCCTACATGCCCATCCGGGGGGAATTTTACATTTTAAAGCAAATGTCCTGGATTTGGGGTTTAATTTTTTCGTGTGTGTGCACGGGTGGTTCTGGTTCAGGCTCTGGCGTGGCAGCAGCAGTGGGGTATTGGGTGACTGCCCTAAAAAATCTCAACATTTTGTGTTCAGTTTTGTTACCTCTTGAAATATGGCAACCCTACCATCAGCCTCATACCACTTTAAGCAGTCATGGCTTCCCCCACTGCATTCTGGGAGCTGTAGTTTGCGAAGGGGGCCAAGCGTTGCTAGGAGACCCCTATCACAGAACTACAAGTCGCAGAGTAGTTTAACAATCAATCCCTTTCCCCAGGGAGCTCTTATTCAGCTGCCTTCCTCCCGTGGCCATTATCTATCATAATCATTAACAGTAGCTTAATCTGGATTTGCAGACCTATCTATTTCAAGTATCCTTTGACTAATGAGGTTTTATTGGATATGCTGCTGATTTTCTGCTTCGTTGTTGCCGTCTGTGATTAATTTAACGCTGGCAGTTTTGCGTTTTCCAAATGTTCTTGCTTCCCTTTGAATTTTTGTAATTTATAAAAGTTTTAGGAAAATTCACTTTCTGCAGTTTATATTATTGTCCAACTCCTGAAGAGAGAGCACTTTGGTCAGAAATATGGCCTAAATGATGAACATAAACAAATTAAATGGAAATCGCAGCAGGAGATCCAATTGTGGATTATTATTTTTTTGTATTGCCACAGTTTTGACTGAGCAAAAGATCTTCAGCACAGCTAGGAAATATTTCCCCTGGAGCCAAAACTAGACTTGAATGCCTTTGCATTTAACTTGAATTATAAATAAAGATATGCATAGGTATTAGTTGGGGTGGTGATAAATCTATAGCATCAAAGCAAGCACAGAGAGGGAGTTTAACCATCTCTTTCCTTGCTGCTGTTCTGAGAAAATCCCTTCCCTGAAGCCAGTATTTACATTGGAGGGAAATTCCCCATTGACATAAATGAGAGATTTGCCTCCTTTAAAGAATTTTTTTCCTCAGGACTGCCACAGGAGAGGAAAGTGTTAATTTCCCTCCTCCAAATCTCTCCCCCACCCCAACTTATGCAAAATTTGAAACCAACTGGCATCTTTAATTCAAAGATACAGAGGTACCTCGGGTTACATACGCTTCAGGTTACATATGCTTCAGGTTACAGACTCCTCTAACCCAGAAATAGTGCTTCAGGTTAAGAACTTTTCTTCAGAATAAGAACAGAAATCGTGCTCCTGTGGCGCAGCAACAGCAGGAGGCCCCATTAGCTAAAGTGGTGCTTCAGGTTAAGAACGGACCTCTGGAACGAATTAAGTACTTAACCTGAGGTACCACTGTACATACATTGCTGCATGTAGCTTGGTCAGAGCTTTGAACAGTTACTCCAAGTCAAAGTTAGCATAAAAGCACAGGGGACTCCAAACTGAAAGGTGGCACCTCAATCTAAGGCTGATCTTTGCATATTTACAGCTCGATCCTAGGCAGAATCAAGGTGCTCAAATAACCACAGATGCCTTTGAAGGATGACATCATTGTGCCGACAAATACAGCCACCATTTAGTCAAGGGCATTTCTGTTGCTGTTGTTTCGTTTCATAATGCTATCATTCGTGGCAAACCGATGGCATCTGTGGAAAAAGGGAGGAAGCCTCAAGGTACATTTTTGGAGCTCCACATTGTGTCAAAACATGAATCTTTCTTCAGGGACCTTTTGGGGCACAACCAACTCAACCCTTTGGTCTTGGCAGCCAAAGGAAACTGGTTTGGGATTTTATTTGTCACATGTTTATCCCACTCTCCTCGAGGAGCTCAGGGTGATATTACCCCTGCTGCCACTCCCTTTATCGTCACAACACAGTAGGTTGGGCTGAGAAACGGCAACTGGCCCAAGTCAGCTTGGTGGCCGAGTGGGAAATTTAAGCTGGAATCTCCCTGAGTTCAACAACCAGGAATGGGGAACTGGCGGCCCTACAGATGTTCTTGAGACTCCAGTTCCGGTCAGCATGGCCAATAGTGAGGGATGATGGGGAGTTGTGGCCTCCAAATGGGGGTACAGGCTCTAACTGCTGCACAACTAGATTCTCTACTAGATTTGCAGTGGACCACAAAGGCCATTATAGTGATCAAGTTCAGTGGTACCTCGGGTTAAGTACTTAATTCGTTCCGGAGGTCTGTTCTTAACCTGAAACTGTTCTTAACCTGAAGCACCACTTTAGCTAATGGGGCCTCCTGCTGCCGCCGTGCCGTCGGAGCACGATTTCTGTTCTCATCCTGAAGCAAAGTTCTTAACCTGAAGAACTATTTCTGGGTTAGCGGAGTCTGTAACCTGAAGCGTATGTAACCTGAAGCGTATGTGAGGTACCACTGTACAGTCATACCTCCGAGTTACAACCGCTTCAGGTTGCGTTTTTTTGGGTTACGTACTGCCGAAACCCAGAAGTACCGGAACGGGTTACTTCTGGGTTTTGGCGGTTACGCATGCGCAGAAGCGCTAAATTGTGCTTTGCGCATGAGCGCCGAATTGCAACCTGCGCATGCACAGACGTGGGTTGCAAACGTGCATCCCGCACGGATCACATTCGCAAACCAAGCGTCCACTGTACAGTTGTACCTTGGATTCTGAAAGCCTTGCGAGCCAAACATTTTGGCTCCCAAATACTGCAAACCCAGAAGTGAATGTTCCGGTTTGTGAACGTTCTTTGGAACCCGAAAGTCCAATGCTCCTGCAGCCAATTGGAAGCCGTGCCTTGGTTTACAAAAGTTTTGGAAGCCGAACCGACTTCTGGAACGGATTCTGTTCGACTTCTGAGGTACGACTGTAGTCACCTATGGTACTGCATGGCTAAGACACACAATGTTGTGATAAGCAAAACTTTCTGAGAAACTCAGCTTTACTTTTTAAGCAAGTCTGTGGTCCTCATGGTTGTGGGATAAAATTAAAAAAGGTGACCGTCATTATCAGATATGTGGATAAAAAACCCAGAAATAAGCCACTGCATGGGCGGGGCAGGGGGGAAGTTGCCTCCCCCCAAATCAAGTAAGTACAGTGGTACCTCGCAAGACGAATGCCTCGCAAGACAAAAAACTCGCAAGACGAAAGGGTTTTTTGTTTTTTGAGCTGCTTCGCAAGACGATTTTCCCTATGGGCTTGCTTCGCAAGACGGAAACGTCTTGCAAGTTTGTTTCCTTTTCTTAACACCGTTAATACAGTTGCGACTTGACTTCGAGGAGCAACTCATAGAACGCGGTGTGGTAGCCTTTTTTGAGGTTTTTAAAGACTTTGGTGATTTTTGAAGCTTTTCCAAAACTTTCCCGACACCGTGCTTCGCAAGACGAAAAAAATCGCAAGACGACAAAACTCGCGGAACGAATTAATTTTGTCTTGCGAGGCACCACTGTAAATAAAAATGCTTAACTGACCACTTGTGTTGCAGATAGCTCGGTTCTGTCTCCGCCCCTGCCAACCTAAAGCCTGCAATCCTAACATAAATCCTGGCTAGGCCCAGGTAAGCCTAGAGCATGATAGCTTCCTGTTGTCCTCTACCCATCACAGTATTTTCATGGCCTCCTGCCAGGGCCAGTAGCTGGGTTGAGGGAGCCTTGGCAAAGTGCCATTTAGTGCGCCTTGACACGAAGGACCCTCCCGCAAATCCTAATGCCCCCACCCCCACTCCATACTGCCTGCTTACTGATGGTAGTGGCAGCCAACAGCAACAAAGCCATCTGCCATTTTCAGTTTCCTAAATGCCTCTACACAGTAGAAAGGTAAAATGGTGGGTGGCTGGAAGCCACACACTGCAAGGAATAATCAAACCGGGGGGAAAGGTGGTTGGGCCTAACTGGAATAGGCCTGAGCACCCATCAGCCCTCAGCAAATGCCAAAGGATGCTTGGTAATAATAATAATAATAATAATAATAATAATAATAATAATTTATTTATACCCCACCCATCTGGCTGGGTTTCCCCAGCCACTCTGGGCAGCTTCCAACCAAATATTTAAAAAATACAGCGTCAGACGTTAAAAACTTCCCTAAACAGGGCTGCCTTCAGTTGTCTTTTAAAAGTAAAATAGTTGTTTATTGCCTTGACATCGGCTGGGAGGGCGTTCTACAGGACGGGCGCCACTACCGATAAGGCCCTCTGCCTGGTTCCCTGTAACCTCACGTCTTGCAGCGAGGGAACCGCCAGAAGGCCCTCGGCGCTGGACCTCAGTCCAGCTGATGGATGATGGGGGTGGAGACAGTCCTTCAGGTATACAGGACTGAGGCCGTTTAGGGCTTTAACACAAACACCCCTCCTTTCTTTCTTACCCTCCTCACATATTTATAGCAACCCCAATTTCTCCAATACCCCCAAATCTCAAAAATGGAATAAAGAGGTGCACACATTATTAGACACGTTAAAGAATGTATGGCCCCATCTCTGCACTTTAAATTCAAAGCAGTGTTATACCACTTCAAACAACCATGGCTTCTCCCAAAGAATCCTGGGAATGGTAGTTTGTTAAGGATGCTGTTTGGAGAGCCCTCGTTCCCTCACAGAACTACAGCTCCCAGAGTTCCCTGGAAAGGGGAATGGTTGTTAAACCACTCTGGGAATTGTAGCTCTGTAAGGGTAATAGGGATTTCCTAACAACTTTCCTCAGCACTCTTAACAAACCGCAGGGTTCTCTGTGGGAAGTCACAACTGTTTAAAGCGGTATGATACTGCTTTAAACGCACAGTGCAGACAGGGCCTGAAATAAACATTTCTGCATTTAATTTGCTCGGACGCGGAAGCTGGCTAACGCACACTACAACACAATTATTTACACTGGAATTGTAAGGAATTTCTTTGCCAGTGCTCATTCTAAAAGCTGAAAAACACAGGTCCTCTTAACCGCTTATTGTTTGCAAAACAATGCAGATGCTAAACCCATGTGAAGAAGGCAAACACATGCCCATATGAGGCTAGCGTTTCGTGTGCACATCTTTGCAAAGATGTTTTTCACTCTTGAAATGTATGAACTGGGCTATGGAACAAACAGCCAAATAACTTCCAGGGACACAAATACTCTTATTTGGCCCACTGCCAAATTTCAGGGGGTGGGGGGAGCTGCCTCGGGGGGGGGGGGGGAAACAGTGCTGTTTTATGGTGGCCCAGAGTAAAATTTTCCTCAAAAGGCATTGTGAAAAGGAAACAATATTTTGTACACCTTGAAGTTTCCTTTCTTTTTGGATTGGTGGACTCTCCCCTTTTCTGTTCTGAATTGGGCCTTTGACACAATGAAACACACACATATATCTTCCCACAGCAGCCGGGCTTTTTGAAACAAAACAGAAGAAAATGCCCAAACCCTGTATTTTCAGTTTCCAGGCCTTATGTTTATGAAATCCACCACACACCGCAACTTTAAGCGTTATTTAATAACAAATGTAGCTGCATCACTGTTATATTTGCAAGCTTGCTTGTGATGCCACAAGGGATAGAAACTTTTCAAAGAAATAAAACCTGGCAGTGCCTGTATGACTACATCAGCCATTCTGCATTTCTTACTTGGCTGAAGATAAGGTTTTTATTTTCTGGCACCACGGCTCGATTTTTTCCCCCTTCTGGATCTCATCCTGTTCCAGTTAGTGCACCGTTATCCTTTGTCACAAAACAAACCTTGCCAAAAATATCCCAGATTTGCAAAAAGGAGGAAAAAAAGATGCTCTCACACTGCAAATACAGTGGTACCTCTGGTTACGTACTTAATTTGTTCCGGAGATCTGTTCTTAACCTGAAGCACCACTTTAGATAATGGGGCCTCCTGCCGCCGTTGTGCGATTTCTGTTCTCATCCTGAAGCAAAGTTCTTAACCTGAGGCACTATTTCTGGGTTAGCGGAGTCTGTAACCTGAAGTGTCTGTAACCAGAGGTACCACTGTACCAAGTTTTCTCGTGTCATTTGTGTATCACAAAAATAGCATAATAAAAGCGGAGTAATATTGACAACATATGGTTCATTATTGGTGGTCAATTTATAAGTTATTGGTTCATGAATTGCTTTAAACAATTAGGAAGACAAGAGAGGGAAATGGGGGGGGGGGGAGTGGCCCTCTGCTTGAAGAAAGGTCCCCTATCCCTGAACTAAAGCATAGCTAACTTAGTTTGGATCCAATTTGAAGTGCCGCGTTGTTAATGCATAGAAAGCTTTCGTATTTCCTTACTGTGTTTAACCTCAAAGAATAATTCTATGGTACGTAAATGAAAGTCTGTTAGCAAACAAGGCAGCATGGAGGAGACGAGTGTGCTTTGCCCTAGGAGAGTTTGGCCTGGGGTTTTATTGTGCCAGGTGGAGTTGGGAGGCCAGGCTACACGTTTTAAGTTGTGGGGGGAAACGATGGGAAAATCGTGTGTCTTACCGCCCAGGAATACCGGGTGCAGTCGCCATGTTCCCGTACCACTTCCCCTTCGTAGGGGCCAAAGATGCAGCCACGAGGCAGGGCTGGGAGGGCGCTCCAGACTCCGAGGCCCCCCTGGGAACGTTCCTTGACTAGAAGTCCCTCTGGCAAGGAGAGCAGGGCCCGGGACTGAGCCCTTTCTGGAACGGGTCTGTCAGCCACAAAGGTAGGGGGTCCGTGCTGCGGGCAGGAGTCCCGGAAGTAAAGACGGCAGTCTTCACAGACTGTGGGAGGAAAGAGAAATGGAAGCAGATCTGGTTTCACCAACAGATCGCAGGCTGACTTTCGGTATGTCAACAGGTTCTGCTACTCACAATTCTTTTATTTTTCCGAACATATTTTATTAATTTTACAAATAAACACACATCAACAAAATCATACTGTATGTAGAGATTCTCCGAATCTCACAACTTCCCCCCATGCCATCCATGGAGTTTTATCTTAAACGTCTACAACTGCATACTCCAATTTTTATATCAGACCGTATAATGTTTTTTACACTACAAGTGAGTCAGAATCCTGCTTTTGTTTCCATCTGCTTACAGTGGTCTCCTAGATAACTTATAAATCTTCCCCATTATTTTATAAAGTTTTCATCCTCTTGGTTTCTGAGTTTTCCAGGAAAGGTTCTGATTTGAAATTTATGACGTGTTCTACATTGAAAGAAAATTATATGAAAATGATGTACTGGTGGTATCTGACTCTTACAAAGTTAGCAAAAACGTACTGTACAAGACAAGTTCAAATATCTGTTGTAAATGTAAAGAAAAAGAAGGTACCTTTTATCATGTGTGGTAGACTTGTAAGGTAAGAAAAGCTTTTTGGGAGATGGTATATAATGAAATGGAAAAAAATGTTTAAAATAAATTTTGTTAAAAAAGAAGAAGCATTTTTATTAGGAATTACAGGTACTGACATTCCGAAGGAGCAGGAAAGACTTATGTATAGAACAACATGTTATTGGCCCAGAGTTGGAAGTCCTTACCAGAGAAGAATGGCAAACCAAGTTGATGGATTATGCCGAGATGGCAAAGCTGACTGAAAAACTCTTAATTGTTTTTAAACAGCAGTTGGGGAAAACTGCCTGTCTAGAGTTGTGCCAGGCTTTCTGCAGGGGTTTAGAGCAGGAGAGATGAGAAATTTGGTTTGGTTCTAAAGGACTGTCAAAATTTGTCAACCACTGACCCAGGCAGGTCAGTGGGGATTCCTAGCCTGTGCTGCTTGCGTCACTTGCTGTCACTAAAGCATCATCCTTCAGTAGACAGCTAGGTTAGTTTAAAAAGAGTGTATGCGAGCGCAATCTCTTTGAGCATTTGGCAATCAAATATATCTTATATCACAGGTTGGAAATGAAGCAAAGGCAGACTGCGAAAGTGCCACTCAACTGATCACTTGTGGCGAGTAAAAAATATCTGAAGGTGGCCAGTCAGGGAAGCCTCAGAGAATTTGGTAGTTCTTCCTCTCCCTCCCGGGGTAAGACGACAAATGGCTTAACACACGCACTTACAATAATAATTTATTATTTGTGACTAAGTGGGCTAGGAGCTCCTTTACAAAAGGGAAAGGGATCATATATGTTTGGGATGGGGCAGAAACGAAGGTTTTACTTTTACTTACAGAGCAGCTCATCCTCAAAACTGGTGCAGGCATCCTCAGCTACTTGCATGATGTGGTACAATCGTGAAGCCTACAATGTTAACAGGGAGGAAGTGTTCAGAGTTGGTACTTCTCACACCCAAAATCCATGTTACCTTAAATACTTTCCCAAAGAGCAGGGAAGGGGAATCTGTACCCTTTCAAATGCCGCTGGAATCCAACTCCCATGAGCCTCAACCAGCAGGACCGATGGTCCCACAACATCTAGCGCTGCCACAGGTTCCCCATCCCCATCCCAGAGCAACATTGACCCCCCCACCTCAACTTCTGCCCAAATGGCCACCTTCTTCACACAAACAAGAACTTCTTCCAGCAGACCCCCCCAACCCTGGATCTACCCTCTTCCTCTAACCTTGGCCATGCTAATATCAAACTCCAACACCTCCTTTCTTCAGAAAGAGCCTATCACCTTCCCCGTGGATTACAGTCACCTTCCTTCCCCTTAGTCCCCCACAAATAGCTCCGTCAGTAAAGCATGAGGTTCTTAGTCTCAGGTCTGTGGGTTTGAGCCCCACGTTGGGCTCCAGACTCCTGCCGCGCAGGGGGTTGGACTGGATGACCCTCGTGGCCCCATGCAGTTTTACAATTAGATGGGGCTTCTGTGATCCCAATACTGGCTGCCTCCCCTACCCCGTTCAGAACCACGCTGGAGAACAGCTCCAATCAAACAACGAGGCAATCACTTTGGACGGGCTCAGCCCCAAATCCAGCTCCCCACCGCCCCCCAACCTGACGTCGACCCCCATCCAGGCTCCCCTATAGTGCTTCTCCGCCTCATCCCCCCCCCCAGCCCGTCTGCACGCAGAGCCCCCCCGGACACCCGTCCACCTGCAACACCAAGCCCGGCTCTTGCAAATCAATGCCCGTCCCCTCGCAAGTCACTGCAACAGCAGCAGCAGCAGCTCCCCTCTCACCTGCACGCCCCCAACCCTTATTGCATAAATAAAATGACCCCCCCACACTTATTCTCAGCCTGCCCCACCTCCCTCCTCAAAGGAAGGAACCCCGAGAAGCCGGCCAAGTCTCGCCCTGCCTGGGCGGAGCTGGATCGATGCCGCTGCGGCAGCTCCTCCAGGCGGGCGCCCTCGTGGGAGGGAGGGTCGAGGAGCGCGCGGGCGGAGCGGGGAGGCGGCCCTTCGCCCTCCTTCCTTCCCGCCCTCGCTCCTCCCTCCCGCTTCCGGTTCTGCAAACTTGCCCGCCGCGCGACACCGGCCGCCGCCGCCGCTCGCAGCAGCATCTGCGCTCCGCCGCCCCTCTCGCTTTTTTCCTTATGGAACGCTCGGCCCCGCCAATCCCTTCCCACCGGCTGGGCGGTCAGCGGCCAATGAGAGCGCGGCCCAGAGTTCCGCCGCCACCCCAGCCTATGAAGCGCCTTCCATTGGCGCGGAAGGCAAGAAGAGGCGGGCTTTCCCCCCCCTCCGCCGAGTTGGCGGCCAATGAGAAGAGGGGCACGAGGAGCGGGAGGGGTGGGGAATGAGAGACGCTCATCCCTTTCTAGGGGCGGGTGCCTAGGGAAGCCGTTGAGAACCAATAGGAGAGGAAGGAGGGGTGGGGGGAGGAACCACAAAAAAGAGCCGCGCTTCAGAGGATGGGATTCCGTTAAATTGGGGGAGGCGGGCTCAGAGCTCTCCCGGCCAATGGGGTTGGTCATAGTGAATAAAGCGGCCAATGGTGTTCCTCGAGTGGAGGTTCGTCGGTTGGCAGTTCAGTTAGCTTTGAAATCGGTTGTGAGGGGTGAGGGAGAAAGGTTGGGACGACGAGTATCAGCGTTTTAAATTTAACATTTTAAGTGATTATTTTATTTTATTTTATTGTAAACTGCTTTGAGGTTTCATTCTCCCTACAAGCAAGTGGTGTGTATATATATTATGAAATGAATGAATGAGTATTTTATTTCTTATATAAAACTCCCTCTCCATTCTAGTGCCCATGCATGATTCAAGGCAGCTTACAGCAGTTAAAAAAAGTAAAATTATATTAATACAGGCAACAACCTCATAATAAAAATATGTATAATATTTATACATAAATAATAAAAATATGTAAAATATGCACAGGGAAAACGCCTTTAATAATAAAATGCATTTAATAATAATAATACTACTGTAATATATAGTTTAATAATAATAAATTTATTTCTTGCTCTTCACCCTAATGTTTCAGGGCAGGCTGCAACATTAGAAGCAACATTTAAAAACAACTTTCAACCATAAAAGCGAGGTGGGCCCTGAAAACATACACCTCAAGTATTAAAAGCTAGGCTAAAGTTCCTCTTTGGCATTCTCCAAAAGGTGTACAGTGAGGGTGCCAGACGCATGTTCTTGTTCTTGCAGGTGTTCCGCAGCTTAGGGGCCACCACAGAGAAGGCCCTCAGCCTCTGAGGGTGGAGGAACTACCAAGAGGGCCCCCTCTGCCTATCTCAGCACCCAGGAAGGTCTGTAGGGAAGGAAGCGGGTTTTTCAGATGTTTGGGTCCCCGAGTTGTAGGGCTTTAAACACCAATGTGAACACTTTGAATTGGGCCCGGAACCGAACTGGCAACCAATGCAGCTGTTTCAAAACGGGTTACACGAGCTCTAAATGGAACCCCAGCCAGCAGTCTGGCTGCTGTGTTTTGGACCAACTGAAGTTTCTGAGTCATCTTCCAAGAGCAGCCCCAGGGAGAGTGCATTGCAGTGACCAGTTTGGAAGTTACCAGAACCTGGAAGCTGGTGAAAAAAAGGCACTCTGAGCAACACACACACACACACACACACACACAGCGAGAGAGAGCGCAACATTGGCTGAGATTATTGATAACAATGCCTTTCGCAGATCAGCTATAGAAAGCAAAATCCTGCTGGAATAAATCTATCAGCTGGGAAAAAAGAGCTATTGTGATGGGAGGGAGCTGAGACCTGGCGTTGGAGCCAATTAAGTTCTACTCAGAGTAAACCCATTTAAATTAAGGGACCCGAGTTATAGTCATGCCCATTAATTTCAGTGGTTCTGCTTTGATTATTACTAACGTGGGATGCAAACCTGAAATGCATTTAAAATATGTGTTAAATAATTCTTATTTGAGGGTAGGTGCAGAGCCTTGAATACAAAGGAATCCAAGAACTGATGATGTTACACAATGTTTGGTTTTTCTGAAGGCTGCAATGTTTATTTCTTTTACAGTATTTATAACCCCCTTCCCTTCAGCATAAATATCTGTTTCCAGAGTGGCTGAAAAAGGAATACGATGCAATAAAATTTCAGTAAAAAAGCATAAAAACTGAGGCAACCAACTAAAACAATAAATAGTGGTTAAAAGTATTGATTAGAAACTTGAAGCCATTAATTAAAAAGCTGTAGCAGCTTTAACATTTTTTAAAAACTAGCTTTCATACATACTGAGATGCATTTGAAAACAAACATTTCTGCCCTTGGAGTGTGGATGGGGAGAAGCCATCTCTATGCAGGGTGCACTGATTAGGTGTTTATTTGTCATTCCAGAGCTGATATAAATGAAGCTGATAGCATTAACAAGGGAAGGGATCTTTCTCAGTGAGACTGCAAGTTTTTGTACTTGATGTTGGGGGAGAGGGGAAAAACCTGGAAGTTCCTGTTGATGCTTACAAAATAAAGCAGTGGCAACTTTTGGAAGATACGATCCTAAGTGTATTTATTCTGCTCATGCCAAAGGAGCCACAGTAGTTCTAAAAGATCATGCAGACACATCCCGTCCCATGAGGCTGCAGCAGTGGGAGAGATGGGGCTATTACATCTCTGATGAAAGATCAGCTATTCAGCTCTAAGAACAGGTGTGTGACTAAGCTTCTTCTCCACTTTCCTCCTCATCACTTTGTTCTTTTGAATTGAGTCTTTTCAGACTATAAACCTGTCTTGGAGTGGGACTGTCTTCTTATAATTGATTCTATGTAAGCTGCGATGGGAGTCTTTCTAGCTGAAGAGCAGGATAAAAATGCTTTAAGTCAGGGTTTCTATGACTTGGGTCTCTGGCTGTTTTGGACTACCGCTCCCATCATCCCTAGCTAGCAGGACCAGTGGTCAGGGATGAAGGGAACTGTAGTTCAAAAGCAGCTGAGACCCAAGTTTTGAGAAACACTGCTTTAAATAGAAACTTTGTCCTACAACTCAGGCAGCAAAAAGTCTTGAACTAGCTGCGATGAATGTATATAAAGATCCATAAAGTGATTTCCAACAACCCACTCCCCCCTTTTTTACAATTGCTCAAAATAATAAAAAACACTTCTGAAAAAACACAACCAATCAATGCAAAACGCTTTAGCCAGCAACTTAACAATTTGCCAATCTATTGCAGATATATTGAGAGAAAGGGCACACAGTACTGTAACCACACTGGTTCCTATTTGTCAAAGCCAGATCCATTCCTTCAATCTGTCGCTGTTTCTCCTCATCTGATTTTGACAGGAAGCTATGTGCTGAGATAAAGTACTTTTCCCTACCCATTGGTGCATTTGGGACATTTATTGGAGCAGAAAATGGCTTGCCAGTCTTTCTGACACTTGTGACTTGTCTTTCTGTTCTGTCCCTTCCTGTTTACAGTAATTCCTGTGGAATAGGAGTGTGTATATGCGGTGCATCAACTGGGGAAGGAAAAGATGGTGGAAGATTGCATAGCACAATCTTAGTTGCACAGTTTTTAAACATTGACTTCTAATGAAGGTGATATTTTATTACACTGATTATAGTGGTGGTTTCGAATGTGCTGACTATGGACTATGACAGGGAAGAGGTGTTTGTTCCATTAGTTTCCTCCTCCCTTTCCCTCTCTCCCCCATAATCAATGTAATTGTCTTTAACACAATCTCTCCAATAAATGTTCACCCATTTACTTGAACGGTCTTTCTCCCGGCCTCCCCATTATAATGAGAGATTAAATGAATTACAGCACAAATGTGATGAGGAATATGTTGTGACTGCAGGAAAAAAAGATGGGGGAATCATTTATTACACTGGTAACAGTAGAGAGGGCATAACCACCCATTTAAATTGGTTGCAGAAAATAAAGAGTGTGAATGTTTTGTTCCAAGGTGGTCTAGATTTTTTCACAGCTGGTGGAATGTGCTCATTCTTCAGTAGATTGGTATCTAGGCATCATGATTACAGATATATATTCTTGGAGAAGTATGGGCAGGGATTAGCTAAGGCAAGAGTGGGTAACCTGTGGCCCTCCAATTGTCGGAGTACAGCTCCTGTTTGAGACCATTGGCCATGCTGGTGGGGGCTGATGGGAAATGAAGTCCAACAGCGCCTGGAGGGCTCAGGTTCCTGATCCCGCTAAAGACTCAAAAGCTGGGAGATGGAGTTTCATTGTTTACAAGAAAGAGGAGGTGATGGATGGATTTATATAGCCTGCCTTTCTGTGCTTGCTTTATAGCAAAGTAGCCTTGTGTTTCTGCTATCTCACAACTACAACTATTCAACAGAATTACAGATTCAGACATAAATTTAACAAACAGATGCAGTTACGACATATTAAAAAATAACCAGCCCAATGATACAAGCAGACTGCTAGTGGGGGACATGGAAAAAGCAAGGGTTTTTTTTCCTAAGTAGGAAGGAAGCCTCATTTATTTTGAGGGAATTACTCTTGAGTCAAACATGCCAAAGCCAGCCACTTAAGTTTTATTCTGTAAAGGCAGCACGCTTGGGGAGTGAATGAAATAATTTGGATAAGGAGGAAAGTGCTTAAACAAACATAGCCTAGTATCCACCTCTGTCCAGGGTCGGGCTAGCAGTAATGAACCACTCCTGCTTTTTCTGCTGCTCTCAGATGGCCCCCTCCCAAGTCCCAGATGAGGATGGTCAGCATTTCTTCCTCTAACCAGCCTTTCTCAACCTGTGGGTCCCCAGATGTTGTTGAACTACAACTCCCATCACCCTTAGCTAGCAAGGCCAGAGCTCAGGGATGATGGGAATTGTAGTCCAACAACATCTGGGGACCCACAGGTTGAGAACCGCTGCCGGAGTCTAATCCTTTAGCAATAGTGATTAACTGATTAAGCTCCTTAACTGCCTCCCAAGTGCTGCAGCCTCAGAGAGAGGACTGGAGCATGTACTAAAACAGGGATGGAGAACTTGCGCCTGCGTGGGGAGCAAATGTGGCCCTCCGGGACACTCTGGTCCATGGCACTCTCCACAGGCCACATCCCCTCCTGGGCCACACCCCTTACAATTCCCTGCTTTGCAACTCTTGCCATCAGCTCAGAAACATCTGAAGTGGCAACATTAAAGCTAAAATGATGGGACAAATCTGACATCTAGTGGCCAAAAGGGGTGAATTTGGTTCCTGATTGTTTTTTAGTGGTTTGAAAAAATGTAATTCTGCCCATGCTGCTTTAATTCTGATTATATTATCATTTATTCTTTAATGGAAATTGTGCTTTGTTTGATTTTGTGTGCACCCTGAGGACTCCCAGAACTGAAAGGCAGAGAGAATATTTTAAATAAATGAAAAGATGCCCTAACAAACTATATGTATGTGTCTATGTATGTATACGGGGACGTGGGTAGTGCTGTGGGTTAAACCACAGAGCATAGGACTTGCCGATCAGAAGGTCGGCGGTTCGAATCCCCGTGACGGGGTGAGCTCCCGTTGCTCGGTCCCTGCTCCTGTCAACCTTGCAGTTCGAAAGCACGTCAAAGTGCAAGTAGATAAATAGGTACCGCTCCGGTGGGAAGGTAAACGGTGTTTCCGTGTGCTGCTCTGGTTTGCCAGAAGCGGCTTAGTCATGCTGGCCGCATGACCCAGAAACTGTATGCCGGCTCCCTCAGCCAATAAAGCGAGATGAGCGCCGCAACCCCAGAGTCGGTCATGACTGGACCTAATGGTCTGGGTTCCCTTTATTTTTACCTTTTTATGTATGTATACACACACATGCATATGTGAATAATAAATGGAAGGTACTGCCAACCTAGCAGTTCGAAAGCACGTCAAAGTGCAAGTAGATAAATAGGTACCGTTCTGACGGGAAGGTAAATGGCGTTTCCGTCACTGCTCTGGTTCGCCAGAAAGCAGCTTAGTCATGCTTGCCACATGACCTGGAAGCTGTACACCGGCTCCTTCGACCAGTAAAGCGAGATGAGCGCCATAACCCCAGAGTCATCTGCAACTGGACCTAACAGTCAGCGGTCCCTTTACCTTTATTGTAATTGCAGGTTATTGCATTCCTCTCATGCTGGGTTGAAGACTTCAAGAATCCCAGGGGCTCAATGAACATTCATTTCATCCCCCTTATTACTGCTTCTTGTTTCCATATCTTTTTTTTCAGCTGTCATTCAGTGGACCCTGTGTGCTGCTGTTTTGGCTACAAAAGCAATTAGCAGGTGTGGGGGGTACATATGTATATTTGTAGTTTGTCGTTTCTTCCACCAGATGGCAAAGCTGTTCCGTTTCTCTCTCCTCGCTCTCCTTTTCTCTTGAGAGAGGTGACCAGAACTCTCTCTCCATCATCTCCTGAAGAGTGACTGTCTGCTGCAGCAGAGGACCAAAACAAACAAACAAAGAACAGAGAACAAAAAGATGCTATTTCCAGGTTCACGGAACAGTGCTTCAAATATGAATGAAAAAGCAACTCTTTTTACAGCTGTTATCCAATTCAAGAAATCCTAGCCACTTAACCAAAGTAGTTTTCTGTGAATTGACCTGTTAAATCTGCATACAATGAAAACAATAGTTTAAGGTTGGGGGGAAATTCTTTGTTTTTCAGTGCTGCTTGTTTATAATTCAGCAGATACTCTCTTGGAAGAGTCATTTCCCTCTTCCAAGTGTAACACAAGAACATAAGAACAGCCAGTAGCTGTTCAGGCCAGTAGCCCATCTAGGGCAGCATCCTGTTCTCAGAATGATCAGCTTAGGCTTGCCATATGTCAGGAAAATTCCTGAGGTTTTCTGGTGTAAAAATGGCGTTGGGGCAAAATGTCAGGGGAAACCCAGATGTATGGCAACGCGATGGAAAAAGCAGCGGAAACAGCTCCAAAAGAGCTCAACAAATATGGAAACCCCAGATCAAGCAGCATTTGAGTGCAACAACCCTTGCACCTTTCAATGGCTTCCAGCAACTGGCATTCAGAAGCATCCTTCCTGTGATAGTGGAGATACCCACCAGGGTTAGCAGTAAAGAGTGAGGGTGCCCCTCTGAATACTGGTTGCCAAGGAGCAACAATCAAACAGCATCATTGCCCTCATGCCTTGATGCCTGTGAGCTCCCTGGAGGCACCCAGTTGGCCAACGTGATGCTAGACTATATGGACCTTTGGCATGATTCAAGTGGGGTCTTCTTAACAATGGGCAGGGGGAACAGAAGACGGGTCCAATTGCATACCGTCCAAACGGTATTTCCTTAACCAAAAGTTTGTTTGAGCCATCTCAGAATTTGGAAACCTGTAAGGCACTGCATGGACATTGTAACTGCCATCTCTATGCCCCATTGATGCAGACTTCGCCAAATGGAATGGCTGTGGCTTGCTTCAGTTGTGTAGCTTGTCTAGAATCGCATTACCAACAATGTCCAGTAGATTCCCTTGACAGTCGTGCAACCGTGTTCTGTAGAGCCATCGCAATAGCAACGGATGCACTAATGAGGCCCATCTCTAAAAAACATCAGCGGTGCACACATTACCAGCTTAAAATGCAGTGAGATCATTACCTCCACACTGTATTTCAAACTGCAATTGTACATCGTTGCATGCATCAGTGCAGTTAGATGCATTTCCAAATCACCAGGCGCCTGCCCACAGCACTGGGCACAGAGGATATGTGTGGATGGCTTATATTTTCAAATCAGATTGAAGCCGACTTGGGGGGAAACACACCAAAACTTAGTATTTCTCAAGAAGCTACAGGACAGGTGTGGATTCCAGTCCTAGCTCAGCAGTGATCAGCTGCTTTCTTAAATGGCTTCTTCTCCTGTACCTTTAAAGTCAGTCTCACACCCAGAAAGTAAACAGATGCAATATTTCCTAGCCTGGAGAGAAGGAGTGTGAAAAACCTCACTCACTATGTTTCAGGCGGGTGTTAAAAGGCACAGGAGGAGGCTGGGGCAGTGGAAACCAATGTGGAAAACTGAATTTCCTGAGCTATGGGAGGATCACAGCTCATGTCCCACTTCCCTTTTCGTCCCCTGCTAATCAGTGGGATTAGTCTCAGGGCAACACAACAACCCTAGTTCGGTTCACCAAGCTGTGGGGCAGTTACAATGGTGCCACACAAGGGATTTTCCAAGTAGCCTCCATCCTGCTGCTCTAGCCTGGCTCCACTTGCCCCGAGGACTGAGCCTTGAACACAAAGGAAGAGTTTGGGATAAGCTGGAATAAATACTTTTCAGGTTTGTATGTTTTAGACTCTGCTTTCTTCTCCCTAGGATTTTCATTTCCCCTCTTGGTTTGTTTGCCTTTTTGAGCATGTGACTGTGGGAGGGAGGGAGGGAGGGAGGGAGGGAGGGAAAGGAGGCACGATGACATAAGGAGACCCAGAGGCAAAGTGGTGTTTTCATTGAAAAAGATGGAGCATTCAGCAGCGGCCGCAAGTGTCCCAATTCTTTGCCTTCCTGGACTCAAAATGTAAGGGGTGGTCAACGAATAGTCACCAACTTGGATGGCTTTAAAAGACGATTCAACAAATCCATGGAGGATAAGTTTATCAATGGCTTCAAGCCACGATGGAGGCTATGCTCTGCCTCCCTGGTCCGAGGCAGTAATGCTTCTGAATACCAGTTGCTAGAAACCACTGCAGAGGAGAATGCTATTGTGTGGACAGGCGGAGTCCCCCCAACCCCAGGTGACCCCCAAACGGAATAATGACTCAAGACAACGTGCTCTGGGATTAAAATTGGCCACAACTTTATTAAGTTTCAGATGTAGGGACACCTTGGCTCAGACACTGGGCGTTTATTCTTCCCAGTCCCCAGCTGGGGATCTGGGAGACTTCAGGGCTATCCAGAATGTGTGGGGGTTGGGCTGGCTCTGGAGAACATATGTTCAAGCAGAGACACCCCCCCCCGTTTCACCGCCATTGGAGGGGAGAGCAATGACAACCTCTCGGTGTATGGCCAATGCCTCCCCGCAAGACCCCTTTAACGGGGAACCCTGGTATCACTGCTGCAAGGGGGGCGTGGGTCAACGCTTCATGCCCCCCCCCCCCATTTAGGAAGATAGACTAAAGGATTCCACCCAAGGCCTGAAACCGCCACCCAGCAGGAAGGTCCCTCCCCTTACCTGGCCGATCCCCTGGCAAGGCCTCCCCAGGCGGGATTGAGCGATTGGCTGAGGTAGGCGGAGACCTCCAGGTATCCAGCCTGAGGAGGAGGAAGCCAGCCAGAACTACCAGGAGTCGCACTGGGATCGTGGAGTGTGTGTGGGTGCGTGCAACCACGTAAAAGGCAGGTACCCCACAGGTCTCTAGTTGGTCATTAGAAGAACAGGATGCTGGATTAGATGCAAGGGGGGGAGCGTGGGTCACCACTTCACGCCCCCCCCCATTTAGGAAGATAGACTAAAGGATTCCACCCAAGGTCTGAAACTGCCACCCTTTTTTTAAACACTGTGAATGATTAGGACAAAGCAGCATCCCCACTGCTGATCAAAGCACCAAATATCTCCTTAATTCATTCTCACACCCAAATTTGCTTATTGACTGTAACTTTTGTTTTGTTTTTTAAAACAAAACTACAGCCCACAATCCAGAGTCACACTCTGACTTGGAGAATCATGCACCTAAAGTTAGTGCAAAAATTGCAGACAAAATATACTGCAGAATGAATAACTGGAGAGTGAATGTTACTCCTTGCAGAATAATCGCTGCAGAAGAACTAAGGCAGAGTGGATGCAAGATCAACAACACATTAGCGGGAGA